CTCCTCCACCTCCTCCAGGACCTCCTCCTAACCTTGGCGGTACTCCACCACCACCACCTCCCCCGCCGCCTCCACCTTTACCTTCCGGCCAAAAAATGTACCGCACCAACGCCGACGATGCTCGTCCTGCTCGCCCGCTTACCATTTTCGACAAATACCCTCGTCCCAAGAAGAAGCTTAAGCAATTGCATTGGGAGAAACTCGATGTGGGAAGCATGGCTCAGTTCTGGAACCAGCTGTCTCAAGACCTGATCATTCTGGAGTTACAGTCTAAGGGTGTATTGGACGAAATCGAGATCATCTTTGCCGCTAAGGACGTCAAAAAACTCGCCACTGTCAAGAAGGAAGACCTCAACAAGATTCTGTTCTTGCTGCGGGACGTGGCGCAACAGTTTGCCATCAACTTGCACCTGTTCAACGCCTGTACTGACGAAGAGCTCATCGCCAAGATCTTGCGCTGTGACGACGACGTGGTGTCCAACGGCGCTGTGCTTGAGTTCTTGGGCCGCGACGAAGTTTGCGACATCTCGAACTCGCTTGCCCGCAATTTTGAGCCTTATCTGACCGACTACACCACTGGCGGCGAAGTTGCCAAACCGGAAAAGGACCCCCGCGAACTCCAGCGTCCTGACCGCATCTACTTGGAGCTCATGTACAATTTGCAGCACTACTGGAAGCTGAGAGTGCGTGCGCTTACCGTGGTGCTGACCTACGAGAAGGACTACGACGACACCGTACACAAATTGCGCCAGATCGATACTGCTGTCGACAACATCAGAGAGCTGAAACACTTACGCCAAGTGTTTGACATCATCTTGACGGTGGGTAACTACATGAACGACCACACCAAGCAGGCCAAGGGGTTCAAGCTTTCACTGTTGGCACGTCTTTCGTTCATTAAGGACGATAAGAACTCGATGACTTTCTTACACTACGTGGAAAAGATTGTTCGCCACCAGTACCCGGAAGTGCTTGGCTTCTTAGACGATTTGGCCAAGTGTGTCGAGATCGAGAAGTACTCCATCGAGACCATCGAAACCGACTGCCGCGACTACCTGGCCCTGGTACGCAACGTCCAGCTGCTGATCGACATCGGCAACTTGCTGGACTTGAACAAGTTCCACCCCAACGACCGGGTGCTCAAGGTGGTGCTTCCGATCATGCCCAAGGCCAAGCGGAAGCTGGAGCTTCTCCAGGAACAACTGACGTGCACCGTGCGCGAGTTCAACAAGCTCATGCGCCATTTCGGCGAGGACGCGCTGGACCCGTTCGTGCGCAACTCGTTCTTGCTGAAGTTCGCTAATTTCGCCAAGGACTTTCAAAGAGCCCAACGGGAGAACTTGGCGAGGGAGGAAGAGATCAGAATCTACGAACAGCGCAAGCGGGCGTTGGAGAAGAAGCAGCAGCAGTACGACAGCTACGACGCCGCCGACGATGCCGAGGAGCAGGCTCCTGCGGACAACGTCATGGACACGTTGCTCGACCGGTTGAAGAAGGCAGGCCCCGCTAAGGAGACGCTGCTGGCCCGCAAACGGGCCATGCTCAAGAAGAAGATGCTTTTGGAGCGGCTGGTGCCTTTACAGGAGGAAACGCCGCCCCAGCTGCCTTTGGACGACGATATTGGTACCGACGACGCTGATACCACCGTGGGCACCGCCGACACCACCGCCGACACTATCGGCACCGCTGCCGACGACGACGACTTGGGGCTGAGAGCACGTAACTTGCTCCAAGAGCTTCGCGGGGATGCCCCTGAAGCTGCCAACGGCAAGATGACTGCTGCTCAAAAGTTCCGTCAAGAACGCCGCCGGCAAAAGATCCAGTCGCCCGACGTGTCCATCACCGAGGACGACACATCTTAGCACATTTTAAACTATACATATATACATCAGCATGACTGAATACACGACGTCACGATTCAGAGACATATAGTAGGCGGTAAGCAGGTATTCAATTGAGGCAACTTGTACTGGTTCAGCTACCAAGATTAGTCATGGAATAGCACAAAAAGTGTCTGGAACACAAAATGATGAAAGGATGGGAATGCTTCTGTGAAATTGTGATGTCAGTTGGGTCAGAAGTACTAAGTATTTTCTTTAAATACAAGTCTGGGCCATTTTGGCTTGATTTCAGCACCCGGGATAAACTGATCGTGAGATTTCGAAATTTCGAGATTTCGGGTTTGACACGACCTATTTCACAAATTCACCAAAACACACGACTGCTTTTCAATGTTATCACGGGCTCACAACCAGGCGGTTTTTCACGATGAAGACGTGCTACTATGAGCTTCTTGGAGTCGAGGCTTCCGCCTCCGACACCGAGTTAAAGAAGGCTTTCCGACGTAAAGCGCTCCAGCTCCACCCTGACAAAAACCCTGATGACGTCGAAGGAGCCAACGCCCGTTTCGCCATCGTCCGCGCCGCCTACGAAGTGTTACTGGACCCTCAGGAAAGACTGTGGTATGACTCCCATAAACTGCTGATTTTAAGGGAAGATGACGAGGTGTTTGACGATGAGCCCCAGACGGTGCTTCCCACGATGCTGATTGACGAGTTGATGAGGTACTTTAACCCAGTATTGTACACTCAAGTCGACGACACGTTAATGGGATTCTATAAGGTAGTGGAGCGGGTATTTGACCGGTTAGCCAAGGAAGAAGTGCAACACGGCAAGCACCAGAACCTCCCTAAGTTTGACACTTATAAGGATGATGATGGTATGGCACTGGAAGACTATTGTCTCTATAAGAAATTTGGTAATTCTCACAGTGATTATGTGAGCCACACCAGAGAATTCTACAACCAGTGGTCCCAATTTCTGACGGTCAAAAGCTTCAATTGGAGAGACGAATACCGATATCTGATGGCTCCTGATCGGCGTACCCGTCGACTTATGGAGAAGGAAAATAAGAAGATCAGGGACCAAGCTCGTAAGGAGTATAACGAAGCGGTACGGAGCTACGTGCTGTTTATTAAGAAGCGGGATCCCAGAGTGAAACAAGGGGTGGAACAGGCAGAGAAGCAGCGCAAAGCTAAACAACAGCAAGAGTTCAGAGAGCAAACGAAGCAACGACGGCTCGAACAACTCATGGCCACGGGTAAATTTGAGGCTCAGGAATGGCAGACAATGACGGCAGCTGAACTTGAAGAATTAGAGGACCTTTTGGAGGATGAATACAATGTACTGACAGAACTGGAGTACGCGGAATCTGAAAATGAGCCTGACCAGTATGATGAGTACGAGTGCATTATCTGTAACAAAGTGTTCAAGAACGAGAACCAGTTTGTCCAGCACGAACAGCTGAATAAGCACAAGAAGGCGGTGAAGAAAATGCAATGGGAAATGAGAAAGGAAGGGCTTGAGTTAGGGCTTGATGACGACTTTGTTGATGAAGGTGATGAGTTAGCGGATGAGGAGCAGGAAGAGGTGAAGGAGGAAAAGGAGGAGTTTAAGCGGGAGGAAAACGAAGTCGACGATGTTATGGCTGCAGAAGAGATGGCATCACTTAATGAAGATGTCCAGGAGCTTAACGGGAAGACCAACACCGAGGTTCCCGTGGTTGAGCTTAGCCAGCTTGAAGTGGACGACGACGTTGATCCTGATCTCATGGGGCTGCTTCAGAACTCTGATGCCGATGACGATTGGAGCACTCCGAATAAACGTACGGAGAAGGGGAAACGGAAAAAGGAGAAGCGAAAGAAGAGGGGTTGAGGGTAGTTAGCATAACTGTATATTAATAGCATTCCATACCACAAAGCAATTGGTCAGATAAATCATTCATTAGTCAAGAGTATGTCATACGATATATCAATCAATCTCGGACAAGTTAAGACATTTTAGGCATCAGTGTGCAAATCAATCATTACTTTGATCGAAGTGGATCACTACCCACTTGAGTACCCTCTTCTGTGGATGTTATACAGGGTGTACAATATACGAGGCACGTGTTGAATGGAGTTTACTCTTCTGTGTTAGTAATTCACAGTATAAAACTGAAACTCCACAAGAATCTAATCAAACAATAAAACTGTTACAGTCTGGTAATGTCGGTGGGGTCCGGTATTTGAGTCATCATACCCAAAACCCCCGAGGCAGCCGGGATTAGCGACGTCTTTTCGGGCTTAAGCGAGCGCGCGCACAAGATCCCATATAATCGCCCATCTCCTCCCCACACTTTTCAACACTCACCCCATATTAAACCAGACAATGCTTCGCTCATTACGGTTTCTCCTGGTGCTGTCACGCACCACCATCAGCCCGTCGAAAGGCTACTCGTTGCGAGCCCCTACGGACTTCGCTCCCAAGCTGGTGGTGGTATTTTCCACCCCACAGAACATCAAGCACGTCATCATGGAACTGGTGGAGCTGATGAAACAGGGCGTGCAAGTAGTTGTTGCTGGTGTCGACACCGTCCCGGGGAACCAACGCAACGGGGTGCTGGAGTTGTGGATGGACGAACCGCTCAAAATCGGCCACTTCAAGGAGTTGGACTTAGCCGAACAATACCCGGAGCAACAGGTGCACACCCACAACGGCGAGGTGTGTATGCTGGGCCACTCCCACCAGCACCAGCACCAACACACTCACGGGGGCGAGCCGTGTTCGGGGTCTCACTCCCATGGCGAAGAACCGGCTGCAAACTCCTACAACTGGCTGAAACCTGATGGCTCAATTACCATCAACATCGGTACCACCCACACCACGTTGGCGCTTGCCAACACGTTGTTTGCCACCCAGTTTGCCAACACGATGTTTTTCTTGGAAAAGGGGCACCCGAAACAGGGGCAGGTGTTGCTGGAGCTTGAGATCACGTTGCCGTTCCAGAAATCTACCACGGTGGTCCACGACGAGTGGGAGCCATTGTTTGATGGCAAGAAGATGGAGATCACCCTGGTGGCAGGCAACTTGTTGAAACAAGTCGACGGCCAGCTGTGTGCCGGTTTGCTTCAAGGCAACGACCGCTTGATGCTGGCGGGCAAGGAGCTGGAGGTCTACGTCAAGATCTTCCCTAAGGACGGGTCCGAGCCGCAGAGATTTAAGTGTATTGCTTCTGGAGGCGCCTGGGGCGCCAAGAAGGATATCGTCGCTTTGAACCCTGAAGCCCAGCCCCAGCGGGGCGACAAGGTGCTGTTCTATGTACTTTCGCCGGAGAAGAAGGCGGTGCCGCCGACAGAGCTGAAACATTTCGGCGTGATCCTGTTTGAGTGCCTGCCTGAACAGCAGAGCTTTGACCCGCCCAAGCAACCGGAACAGACGCTCACCCACGTGTTTGGCGCTGGCTCCGAACAGGGGTTTGTCACCAACGGCATCATCCACGAGCTGAGCGGGGAGACGGTGGTGATTGCCACCGAAGAGTCGCCGTAACCCCAAAAAGAAAATAACACCTTTAAATTAAATAGGCAGAGAGTGTATTCACAAACATATTAAACACAGTTTCCCAAACAAACCAAAAAGGATTTAAGCCGTCTTTTCCGAGGCATCAGCCTTTTCCAGCTGCGACGCACCGGCACCCGAGGCACCCGAGGCACCCGACGCCGCGCCTTCCTGTTCGCCCTTCTTCAACTCGACCAACCGTTGGGCTTCCTTGTACACTTCCTGGACGTTTTGGGCGATGTTCTGGTAGAACTCGTTGATCTTGACCCCGTAAGGCGACGACGCCGCCTGTTGCAAGTACTGCGAGATGCGGGGCCCGTACTTCTTTTGCCACGCTTCCCAGGTCTCTTGGCCCTGCTTGAGCTTCTGGTTAGCCAACGAGTCCGGGTCGGACGAGTGTATGTACTTTTCGTCCAATTGGGTCAAAAAGTTCTTGAATTTTTCCAGGTAGCCGTTCTTCTTGTCCTGTTCCAACGCCTGCTGGATGATGTTGTCGCCGATGATGTAGCCGTTGGCCAACAACTGCGCCATGATCGCGTACTTGGGCTTTTCCTCCTGGTCGACGTCGTCGTAGTTTTTGTCGCCGGTGACGGTGGCCTGGATCTTGTTGTCGTCGGTAGCTTGCGCCAGCGAGTGGTCGTAGCTGGGCGCCTTATCGGCAGCAGCGTCGCCGGTGTCCTCCTTCACCTGGATGGGGAGGCCATCGAGCTCGGCATCGTTCAACAACAACGCCGTCAGCAACGCCTTGGGCAGGGCAAACTTGACTTCGAACGAGTTGAACTTGGCGTCGTCGGACTTGAGCTGGGAAACCAGGGTCACCTGACCGCAGAACGAGAAGAAGTTCTCGAGCTTTTCCTTGGACACCGAGGTGGGGACGTGGGAGGCGATGATTTGCGACATTGGCAGGCGGGGACAATTAGGGTTGTGGTGGATATTTAAAGAGGAGGGGCGGGTTTTATAGGTTTTGTGTGGCGCGCACTGGCGGAAGCCGCGTCCAGAGAAGCTCAGGGGCGCATGTGATACTGCACGTAGAAGGTGGCGACACCCCATAATGAGGTGGTCAGTAGCAATCGACCGAGGCAGTGCTGCTTTGCCGTGGAAGGTGCTGGGGGCAATTGTAGCAGGGCGAAACATGAAGACAATTGCTGGGGTCACCGACGGGGTGGGGTGACGGCGCTGCGGGGAAGCTCAATGGGGAAATAGTGGGCAGTTTCTGGCATTTATTGCCCTTATCAGAATATGCGCACCCCACGGGGAGCTGCTGCCGAGAATGTCTGTCGGCGTCGGAAGTGTCGGAAATATCGTAACCGACGGGACTACTGAAAATGGTTATTGTAGGGTACATTGAGCCGGTAGACAACTGCTTGTGTTGTCTACACGACGAGCCATCGGATTCTATTTATAGCCTTGTGTGAACATATGGATACACACTCATCACTGAAAGACTTGATCGATGAGATGTATCAAGACAACGTGGATGCACATTGTGTGGTCTGCAAATTTCTAATCTTGAAGCGGAATTCAAGAGATGCTCGGTGAAACTTAACGCTAATTATGTCCTTTGATATGTAGACCTTCCAGTTATCTAAATTACACGTTTATTGGATGCTGTACTCGTCAATCTATAAGAGGGTTTGGCCCAAGGCACAGCGGCCGATGGCACACGCGGCCAGCACGGTGTTGTGGAGCTCGGCGGGGGTGGCGGCAAGCAACGGGTTGAGCTCGACAATGTCCACCAGCAGCAAAAGACCCAGCGCCGCCACTTCCTCGGCGACAAACAAACCCTCTCTAAGCAGGAGACCGCCTTCTACTCTGGTACCAGTGGCGGCGACGACGGAAGGGTCAATGGCGTCAATATCGTACAGCATGTGGACAGGGCAATCGCGATTGGGGTTGACGGCGTCGAGCGCCATCTCCACCACTTTGCCGATGCCGTACTTGTCGACGTGGTACATCAGGAAGGCGGGAATGTTGTATTTCTTCAAGATTTCCTTCTCGCCGGCGTCGACGTCACGGAGACCGATATAGGCAATTTTGTTCGGCTTAAGCGTTTGCGGCACCCACGAGAATTGCGGCGGGTACAGCTCGGTGTCGATGCCCATGACAAACAGCATGGGGCACCCGTGCAAGTTCCCCGACTCGGTGGTCTTGGGGGAGTTGATATCGGCGTGGGCGTCGATCCAGAGGACACAGGTGTCCGGGTTGTGGCGAAGCGCCGCGGCGACGGTGGCGGTGCCGAGCGAGTGGTCGCCGCCAATGGTCACGGGCATGCGCTTGTTTTCGAGCGCCGAGTACACGGCCTCGTGGATGAGGCGCCCCAGCTCGGCGACAAGGGTAGCGTTCTTGACGCCAAAGGCGTCTTTATCGTTGGTCTTTGCCTCTTCGAAATGGGTGTCCTTCAACGGCTCGGAGAGCTCCGTCTCCCACCCGAGCGCCTCGAGCTGTTTGTCAAACCCAGCATCAAGCATGTACTGGGGCCCGAGCTCGACGCCGCCCTTGGGCTGGCCGCCCAGGAACGGCGCGGTGACGATGGTGGCTTTCTTTTCAGGGTGGAACTTGTACTCCATGGTGAATACTAGGCCTCAGATAAAGGGACAATCGCCGCCCTATATAGTGCTGGCATCGGTGGCTTTTCGTGACAGGTGCCGTCGGCGTCACCTGCTGTTAGCGATCAGGTTGTGCGCGGAAGGCGCACCGCGCCCGACCTAAGTTTGATCTCCGAGATCACTACCATGATGAAAAGCTATGACCCGCCAAGCCCCGTGACCGCCGTCGACGAATCCAGAAACTCTCGGTGACAGCAGTTTAAGGATGGGTGTCATCATCGGTGCTTTTTTTGGTGGAGTTTCCGAGGCTATCTCCGTAGTTGGCGTTTGCCGTGATTAGCCGTCGCTATCAGTTTCGCTTAAGGGCAGTGGTGACCGTGCGGGCAGGCGCACCCGCTCGTTTGCAAACGGCAGCTGACCCCGGCGAGCGTGCGCGGTAAACGGCGCCAGTGCATTTGCAGCCAAGGAGGGGAGGCGACACCGTGCAAACATCGGTGCTGCAAACATCAGTGCTACAATAAATATCTATTAGTTAAAATGCAATATTTCTTACCCCTTTCTGTGTTTGTGGTAAAGATCATCAAGGGCAAACTCAATCAGACACCGGGTCCAGAGTAACGGGAACAACGGCCACACCAGGCGCTCGCCCACAAAGATCCAATAGGGGATGTTTTCCATCGATTTATGAACGTCGAACACGCGAGAAAAGTCCCGCACAAGGTAGCGGAGCTCGGGGACAATGGTCACCTCTCTGATCAGGGCCAACAGTTGCATCGACGTTGGCTTCTCATCGATAAAGAACCGTTTCATCATATCCCCCAATATCCCCAATTTGTTCATTACTTGGAGCCTATGTTGGATCTCGAGCCCCGCCACCTGCTTAAACCGTTTGACCAAGTTTAGGTGGCTAGTCTTGTACTTTTCCAACTCCACTAGCGCTGCGTGGAAGTTCTCAGAGGTGGCGCTGGTGGTGTGGTCGCTAGCGTGCTTTGGCAGTTTAAGGGCTTTCATCAGCTGATGCTTCAAGTCGTTGGAGATTAACGGTGCCAAATAGGGACGGGCGAGGGAGATGACAAAGTGGTTGACGTTGAATAACTCGGTAAGTCGAGCGTAAGGGGTATGGCCCAGTAGGTAGTTGGCAGCGGCGTTGGGTCCACCAAAGTATTGCTGGTTATACGACACGTCCTGCGGCTTTAAAAAAGTGGTTTCCAACTCTGGATTGCGAGGGACGATGTCATTATTGAAGTCTTTGACGTAGAGACACACGTTATCTGATAAGACACCGGTACCTATCAGGGCGTAGATGGCGGTCCAGATAATCACATTGGGAGCAGTGATATAATTGAGGAGAGGTGGCACCAGTTTATTGGTCGGGTGGATGACGATATTGAGGATTTTTTCCGTTCTCAAATACGCTTCCTCAAAGGTTAAGTCACCCACTTGGTCGCGGACAAATTTGAGGAAAAGCAAGATATCCTGCGAGTACCCCTTTTTCACCACGTTATCGATGACGCTACCGTATCTCTCATCAACGTCGTGGTTGAGGCGGTCGACATTACCCATAACTTTACCGATATCGAGCAAAATGGGTACGAGTTCGTCGTCGACAAGACACCCGACCAACGACGCCACCGCCGCTCCCACGGCGGAACCACCGATGATTCTGGGTAGAAGACCTTTGAAATAGAGAGCTTTGACCACTCCCAAGTGGCACAAACCAAATAATGAACCCCCTTGGAGCAATAACGCCGACAGCCCAAACAGTTGTCTAGCATCATGGAAGAAGTCAAGTTTAAGCTGCTTCAGGTTCATGATATCGGTATCGGCCAAGTCCATCAGCTCCAGCAAGTACTGGAGGCACTCAAGCACCTCATTCACGTACTCTTCAATCAAGTATTTGGTGCCCAAATACGCCTTTAGGTAGAGCCTCTTTTGAGCAATACCGCCGAAGTTGCGGATGAGCCCCAGCCGCAACAACAGCATCAACTTGAGGACTTCGTCGCCGTCTCTGGCTTCCCTCAAGTTCTGGATGCGGTCGTTGATGAGCATATAGTCGTAGTGCCTCAGGATGAAGTTCTGGCGCCACAAGTTCATGTTAGTCAACCGGTCGATCTCGGTGACGGTCAGCTTCCACTCATGGAACGTCTCGACGTTTTTCAACCGCGTGATCAGCTCCTTCAATGGGTCGTGGCGGTCAAACACCATCAGGTAGCACTGGCGGCACCAGAACAGACACACGTCGGAAATGAAGTCGATCAACACCCACACGAACGCCGGCATGTGGTTGAGCACGGCGGCACACACTGCGAACGCGAGCCGGAGCAACATTCGGGCACGGGGGTGTCAGGCTGGAGGCGGTAACGGGAGGGTATCTCGGAGTCGCCGGGGACTATTGGCATGTGAGTTGGTAACACCTTAGCCAGCCGCGATAAGCTGGAGTGCACGTAAGGCAGGCCCCGCAAAAAGCAAAGTTTTACGGGTTGGGCCGAGGCAGAAGAAGCTAGCAGAGCAGGGGGCAGGAAATGGTGTGATGGGGCCACACGTGTAGCCAGTTGAAACTGCCTGAATAAACGTAGGATTTGCAAATCAATGTTGGACAAATTCCTGGGTTTCTATAGTGTGTGACCATGGTTGCCGCGAAGTGACTAGTCACGTAAATAGTCTTGAGTGGGTCAAAGTCGAGAGTATGTGCTCTGGATTGCTTTCATTATCGATTATTTGTCTGTGGTGGAAGAATATAGACTTCATTAGCTCTTAATAGTCTAGCATTTAATAGTCTAGCACTTAATAGTTTAGTATTGAGCACCAAATTTGGCATGTAAGGTAGGTGAAAGCTATAAACTTAGAGGATGCGTCGATTTAGCTAATGACTTCGATGTGTAACTAGAACATCATCTAGTCTTAGAAGTACGTTCTTATGGGCCCCTTCAAAGTATGAGCATTTAACCCTTAATGATGATAGTTTCCGTCACAAGATCGTGTCAGAGTGATTTTAACTACACACTTGATATCTTAATCGGAAGCCCTCTCAAAGAGGTGGCTTGCCCATGGCTTGATGTCTATTAATATCACTATACAGGGTGTGTATCTATAATTAAAGGTTTATGTTTATGTCTTGTTTTCCCGATCAAAGTCGTATCCCCGGGCCACACCGCCTCTCCCCTGTTCCACCACTGCCCCCTCTTCATCATAATCTTCATCATCCTTCCAGTCACTGCCCAAACCAGTCCACGCTCTAGTCTGCAAATGCGCTGCCAGCGTCAGCACCGTGTTCTTAATCGTCATCGTCGTCGAGAACTTCTTTACGAGCTGGTGGGCGTCAGAGGCAGTTTCCGTGATATCATCGGCTTCGGCAGTAACCTGTAAATAAGCCTGTTGTCTTAACGGTTTGGACTGGACAAACTTACCGGTAACAGGGTCAAACTCCGGCTCTTCATCGGAGTAGTCCTCATCGATTTCGCGGTCTTCTTCAGCGTCTTCTCCCTCCGCAAGTTCCTCGAGAACGGAGCGGTAGTCGGTCACCCACTTACCCGTCCATGTCATCTCATCCTTCAACGCTAACATCAACTCGTAGGGAGTGACGATCGGCTTGAAGTACTCGTTATACTCGTCCAAAATGATCCCCTGGTGGTCGCACCCTACCACGCACCACACGTCAATCAGCTCGTAATTGGCAAGCTTGGCCACGTTGGGTTTACCGACAACAAACATATAATGCTTTTTACCCAGTGCTTTCACTTTAGCCGCTAGAGTATCGAGTAATTGGCGAGTATGAGCAAGTGAAAGAGTATTGAGCAAAAGCCCCACGGTAGCCGCCAGCCGGGCTTTGTGCATGTTCAAATATCTTCGATTGAGACTGGGGACGGTATTGGTGTTCAGTTGAGGGTCGTGGAAGTGGACGTCGGTGAAGGTGGTGGACAATTGGAGCATTCTCGGTGGTTGCGGGTTTCCGAGGTAAAACAAACGGTATGCAGAAAGTTCTTCCAGTGAAGTGATACCGGAAATCACTCGATTAAGTCCATGATAAGCCGATTTGTCAGTGTGAGGTGGGTGTCCCAAAATCTCGGCTTTTGAATTAGGGTCTACACCGACGTCAGCGACCACCACGTCAGCTTTCAGCAATCCTGCTAACTCGTTAAGCTTCCAGGCATATTGGGTATCTCCCATTACGATCAAGGGGGTGTCAGGTTCTTCAGAAGCGTAGTTATCGAGGGCTTTGCTCACTTCACTTAAATCCACTTGAGGACGGCCAAGCACGTAGATAGCCGGCAATGTAGCCACAGGGTTCAAACAGGCATTGCCAAAATGAACTACAACATCAGCATTAACGTGTTCGGCGGCCACTTCATCGATGCAGCAGGGGGAATACAGAGTATCGGCAAGCACCCAGAACTGGCGTCCAGGCACCAATTTCTGGAGGATATGGACCACGGTGGCACTGTCACAGATAAGCTCATCGGGGAACTGCAATGTGACTTTATTGTAGCTCAGATTGGCGATGTTAGCGGCTAATTCCCCAAGCTGGTAGAAACGGGTAACCTCGACCACGTAGTCGTCGTAGCTGTTGTTCTGCGGTAGCAGGAGGTGGTCTCGCGGCTTAGCCGCCTCCTCGTAGCGGGCAAACGTGGTGTCGTCCTGGTAGGTCAGCAACGCCGGTGCCGGTGCCGGTTCCTCCATCGTCCAGTGCTTCGCGATGAGATCGAGTGAGGCCGATGAGATCAGGAGGGGTACACGTGATTTGTGAAGGGTCTGAAGAGCAGGGTAATTGTAGGGATAAGGATGACGTGTTATGATTATTTTGATGTGAAATTGGGGTTGGTTTAGCGTTTTATGGTGTTTGGTGTTACCGCGAATGATAGCGGTGCCAACTGTAATCACCAGTCGCAGAGTATATGAGCCACATTTCTAGAAATAGCTTCCCCGATAACCACAAGTACACCTTGTGGTGTGGAATTTGGGCCAGGTGTCATTGGTTTGAGGAGGCAAGCTGTGAACTTGATCTCTGATGAGGCTATTGACAGGCTTTGCACTCTCATATAGCACCTGACAAGGAAGTGCGATTGACAATTAAACCAGAAATTTCAATCTACACTCGTAATTGAAGGAATTGTCCGTTTATTGATTCTTTATATAGAATTAACCAATGACGCACCATTCCTTGCCGTGGTAGTCCAAGTAGGGCGACCACTTGTGGTCCTTGCCGGCGTCAGGGGTGGAGGAGGGCGATTGAGTGGTGGGTTGAGCAGCCATGATTAAGATTGTTTGTGAGAAGTAGACGACGAGAATTTATGGGTTTATTTATCCTCGTTTGGTGGGATTTAGTGGTAGGGCGTCGATATCCGTTTTCGGCGAGCACAATCAGCTTGAGCGTGAGGTACAGGGCTAACGCAGGTGCTCGAGCATCAGGCGCACCACCTGCTTGCCAATGCCGCATATTCCATGCATATAAAGCCGCTTATTAATCGGACCGACCAGTGGTTAATACGGACGATAGCAAGTCTTTAATCGAGATTGGGAGTCATATGGTGGTGCTGCGGCTTCGCATGATATTTGCAGCCATCAGTGGTTGGCGTGTACGCACTTTACATCAACGAATCTTTCCTTGATGAGACGTTGAGTTGCAGATTAAATCCACAGAGCTATTACAGAGTCAATTGCAACTTCACCCTTGACGAGATTTAGCCGAGTCTCCAACGATAGCTTTGGTTTCAAGATATCAACAATGGATTAGTCAAGTGGCCGAGTAATTTGATGACCGAATGCTCCCTAAAATCCCAATTGGCGAATCTAGCTAATTTTCTGAAAATAGAGCATCACGAATAATTGAGAGTTATCATCACCGCTGATGAGATCATCAATCGATACCCAGTAATAATCGTCCAAGCTTGTCGTGTCTCATTAAAAGCTAATGGCTATGTCTAGTGTCCAGACTGTCGGCAGTTGTCGGGCCTGTCTATGTCTATAAGGGTGCCGGGTCCATCGCTGCCCGCAGGATGTTCATGGCGGCCACGCGCTGGCGGAGGGCGTCGAGGGTCATCAGCTGGGTCAACTCGCGGTGGCACTGGGCGCAGTAGAGGCGCACGAGCTCGCGGGCGTCGAAGTCGTCGGCGTAGAGCCCCGAGTCCCAGTCGAAGACGTTGGGGGAGTGGACGGCGGCGGCGTTGCTGCGGGCAATCTCCGCCTCGACAAGGTGGTGCCACCCGTACTTAACGGCGGCGTCTTTGATGAACGGGTAGTGGTCTATAGTGAGGCGGCAGCGGGAGTGGTCCGGGTGCCACGGGAGTTCTTCGCCGCCGTACACTTTGGGCGCCTGGACGTACGTGATGTCGGTGTAGGCGCATTTGTCGGTGTTGTGGTCGACATTGCGTATCACATTGAAAAGGCCGTCAACGGGAGGGACGGGCAACAGCAGCGTCGTGTAGAGGTACAGGTCGTTGCGCATTTTCAAGTAAGTGATCACCCGCAGCAATTTGGTGGTGATGAAGTGGAGGAAATCGAACTCGTCCGGGGCGAGCTTGTCCGGGGTCACTTCGTAGGCGCGGGCATTGAACTCCGTCTCCGCTGCCATCAAGTTGAACGGCTCCACTAAGAGGATTGCCGGGAGTGTCGGCACCACTGTCGCGAGGGCGCGTGCCGTCGCCGTGAAGCACAAGTAGAGGATGCGTGAGATTAAAGGCATTCTCAGCCCCACCAGCAACAGCTCGTTGGCGAAGATCTGGAACCAGCGGACACACGTGGCGAAAAGGAGCTTCGCCAGCACTACTAGAAGCAGTCCTGGGTCACGGTAGCCCGAGGGGATACGCGGCCGGTAGTGGGCGTCCAAGTACCGGAGCGCCGGAAACGTGTCGTCAGCAAACTCGTCGGCAAAGCGAATGAGACCGGCAAATTTCACCTGCTGGTAGCGTGGCACTTGAGCTCCACCTACGACGTAATCACGGTCTTCTAGCCACGCGCGAAGCCCGTAGAATACGTCTCGAAGCAGGTGGAATAGCGTGACGGGGTAGTCAGGGATCATCAGCTCCAGTCCTCGAGTATAGAGTAACTGGATCATCGTGCGGATTGTCGGTGTAATAGCGTCCAAAGTAGGCAGTTCTGTAGCGATTTTCGTCGCCAAAAGGATGGTACCGCCATACATCGTTTGTAACACTTCATGCTGAGAGTGAGGGTGCAAAAACGTCAGCCACGCGGCAAACAACAGGATTTTCGTCGGGTACTCGATGTGGAGGTGGTCAATCAGGGTTCTTAACGTGCGGATAAGTCTCCCGTAATAAATATATGACCTTTTTAGAAGGAATTTGAGGTCGGTACTGGTGAAGTGGCTAGTGCGCCCGTCGTCATTGGGAAGCTTCAGCGCCACAAAGTAGTTACACTCGTTGAGCAACACGTTGAGCGACCGGTCCATGAAAAACGTCCAGTACACTTCGAGCTTCAGCGCCACTTCGTAGAGGATCCGCCAGTAGAGGTCGCGGTACTTGTTCAGCCACACCGCCTCGTAGTTCTCGTGGATGGTGATGAAGCGGGCGAGCAGCGGATGGAAAGGGTCGGCCACTTTTACCGAGTCGAGCTTAAGCCGCCGCGCGAGCTTGCGGTGGGGTCTAAATTGGGCGGTCGTGGTGATGGCGTGGAGTAACGGTGGTCCCAGTGGCGGCGTCAGCACCGGCGCCTGTTGCGGCACTGATGTTGTCGTTGATGGCGCCGAGTGCGGCGGCGGCGGCGGGAGTTCCGGCAATTCCGGCATTGCCGGCGGATATATATGGCTGTCGCCGTCGCTGGCGGGGGGGTTTAAGTAGACGGCCATGGGGCTGCCGATGCGGGCGTACCACTCGGGGCTCAGCCGCGCCGGCTCGGGCGGCGTGGGGACGCTGGTGGTGTCGTATAAGGGGACGGGGATGGGAACGTAGGCGTTGACGGCGCCGGGAGTGGCGGCGCCGGAAGTGCTCGAGGGAGCGCTGGAGGGAGCGCTGGTTGCGTGAGTAGCGCCAGAAGTACTAGTATTGGCGCTAGTAGAGCCGCCGGTGGCAGTAGCGCTCAAAGTACTGGTATTAGCGCTGCCACTAGCGCCGCTGGCGCTGGGAGCCGGCAGCAATATCAGCGCCAACTCGCGGTTCTCCTGGCGGCGGCGAAGCGCGTGCTTGTCGCGGAGCGCCTGGATCTTGACGGCGCCCATGTCCAAGTAGCCGCAGCGGATCCCCTTGCGGATACAGTTCTGACACAGGGGTAGTTCTTCCATGCACTTTATTCGCCGGCGCTTGCACTCGGGGCAGCCGTCGCGGGAGTTCTTATGGGCCCGGCGGGTTTTGCGCTCAGCGACGGCGCTGAGAGGCAATTCCGTCATTCGAGACTATCGAGAATCTGAAACAATGGGGGCACCAAATGGGGGAGGCGGTTGTTTCACAGCAACGTGGTAATGGCGGTGGGCGGGGTGGCGTAATGCAAGTGAGAGACGGGTGAGGCCGCGGCAGGAACCCGGAGGTGTCACCACTGCCGCTGTTGCTAGGTATATGTACGGTGTCGCGTCCTGCATATAACTTAAGTCAACCCACTACCCGCAACACCACCAGTAGTTGTCAGATGCCATTAATAGGCAAAAAAAAATCGACGTCGGCGCCAGCACTTACGTCACCCGGCAGCGAACGTAACCCCACTCATGTTTCACCCGTGCGTCGACAGTTTTAGGTGGGTGGCGTGCCGCTGCCGTCACTGATGTTACCTGTCACCAGAACCCTGCTTTTTCGGCGACCAAGACGTTGTGACTCGGGGCCTGACCGCGCTACCGCGTATACGGTAATAATGGTCGCCTCCACCATTCGCCGACACTTAAAATACGACCCAGCGCTCGCAATCGTGGAATTATCTAAAGATATCATTTGGTTGTGGCTCCCCCATAATCCGGTATCTCAGGGGCTTGAGCCGTTTACTAATGACCATCAAACCCCCGTTGGGGGCGGGGAAGGGCCCGTTTTTGGTTTTTTTTTTTATCGGGCGATAAGTTTTCGGAAGATCGAGCCGAAGTGTTTTACAGGAAACGTGACACCGCAAAGATCTAAACCGTGCCGGAGACTAACCTAGTTCGATTCAGATGCTGTTTCAGGGATCGCTGTCTGAAATTGACGTCAAACAGTGGGGGCACCCGGCGCTCGCCGTGCGCTGGAGCGACGCATGGGCGCCGGGCGCCGGCCGTTCTCGAACGTCGCGCGCTGCGCCCACACCGCAATGGGGCGCCCCCTGCTGTCGCTGCGGCTGCTGCTGTCGCACTAGCCTCGACCGAAGATTGCTCACTACGAATTTAGGGCCCGCGCCCGGAAATATCACAAAGCAACCCCGCTTAAGATGCGTCACTGCCAATAAAGGTTAACGAACACATAACGAGATAAAACACGACGTAATTTTAATTACGTCTAACGTTGTGGTCACGTGGTGTAGTCACCCCCCGATGACTCATGAGTGTTCACCCTGATTCATCACCATGAATCAGTCAGGTAACTCCGCCAGATTTCACCTTAGATAAAAGTCCGCTGATCAAGGGGCTTAGCCATCTCTTACCTAGTAAGCAATCACCCCGCATCCCTAATAATACTAACGGTCTCAGATTAACATTTACCAGTGATGCTTTCACTATTTTACAGCTCCCGTCTAAATATCTATCCGAAAACTAACAACAGCTAGTGATATATTGTACTGGTCTACAATCCAATCTTTTGAAATTTAGAATTAGGTCAATTTGGAGAAAGTAACCAAGATTTAACGATCTTCAGTGACAGTCAACAGACCATCGTCCAGGTGCACATACACACTTAAGGTAGATTTCTGGGTTCAAACCATCACTATCCATGGACTAGCTTTAGCGCCATGATCACCGAATGGGAGATGGTTCAGCGCAGTATTGATCTACATCTACTTTTGAATAGTTAACGCCTCTAAGCTGTTGTCAATCAATAAATACGTATATTACAACAATAAACCAAGTGTATTTGTCGTCGACCTAAGGGTCGATGGGGATGAAGTTGCCGACGATGCAACTGGGGATGTTGTACCGGTCGCGGCGAATAGTAAACGAGAAACAGCACAGCTTCCGCTTGATACCATCTTTCGTCCGCAAGTTGCACAGCGTCAACACCGCCTTTTGGCCTTTATCGAAGGCGATGGCGCCGTACTTCTCCCAGAAGTTGACGGCGGACTCCTCCGACATCAACTCGTAGATCGCCAACTTGCCGTCCTTCAAATCGTCGGCTTTCACCCCGACTAACAGGGCAAATTCCTTATTACCGCGGTAGATCTCGCCGGTACGCCGCCAGAGACACGCGGGGATCGCCATCGACGTGAATACACGGTCGTAGTCAAGCAACATCCGCTCAAAGCTCTCCTCGACAAGCACGAGGTCGACGTCCTTTAATGTCCGCGCAATCGCCCGGAACGCCGGTCTAAAGATCAGCAACGGCTTCAAAATGCGCTGGCGCAGCAGCACGTTCATGTAGTTGTCCATGTACGCCTGTAAGCGGGCGTACCCTTTGGCGTAGTTGTATGGCTGTAACAACCCGGCCTCTAATTTCGCTTTGATGACCTGTTTAAGCCGTTCCTCGGGGGAGATCTCGGTGGTGGGGTCGGCGGCGGTGAGGAAGAACTTGTCGCGGGCCAGGTCGGAGATCACCGGCTGGTGGCCCGGTGCCATCTGGTTTATCGAGGTCGACAGCGCCTCGGGCTTTAGCAGCACCTCGAGGTCGTTGGGGAGACCGCCGTCGCCGCCAGTGCCGCCATTGCCAGCGGAATTGCCGTTAGTGCCATTATTTCCGTGGGACGTATTATCGTCAAAGAACGCCAGCGGCGCGATGCGGGTACTGCTGGGCGCACTAAGGCGTGGCGTCAAATTGGAGCCATACATCAGTGGCGGCGCCATCAGCGCCATCGCCGCCGCCGCCGCCTGTTCGGCGCCGTTATTATTGTTGTTGTTGCCGCCACCAGGCTGAGGCGTACCCACGTCAAATTGGCCAGAACCAGCGCCAAAGAGGCTGCTCATCACATTGCCGTCGTCGCCTAAAGCGCCATTGACCAAATCGGGGTCGTCAATCATCGACAAAAAGTCGTTAAGCGACGAGAACTCAGACCCCGCGTGCTCCGAGTAAAAGAACGGCTCCTGGTTATACGGCAACGTCTGCAGAAGCACCAGGTTGGCGCGTTTAGGGGCATAGGCGCCTGGCAGCTCGGTGGTGCGTGCCAGAGCTAGAAGCGCCAGGTGGTTGCCGGCGCCCAAGCTCGCCATCAGCGGCGCCGCCGACGCGCTGGCGGCGGGGGCCATCGCCACGGCGGTAGCGGCTGCCAGTGCCGGCACCAGCAGCGTCAGCGGCGGCACTAAGGGCGCCTGTGGGGGGGTGGCAGTGCCCAGCGCCAGCGGCGGGTCCAGCCGCAACGCCGCCGCCTTCTTCCGCTGGCGCTGGTTCAGCGGCTCGTCATAGCAAAGATGGCCAATGCCCCGCTTGATACACCGCTGGCACGGCCTCAGATCGTCGCAAATCATGTGGGAGCGGCGGCAGTAGACACACGCGATCTCGACCTTCTTCTTGCGCTTGCGCTGGGCCAGCAGCAGCCGCCGCAGGGCGTCGGGAGCGCCGGGCGGGGGCGACACGGTCTCCAGCTTGATGTTGAGGTGGTCGTCACCCATCGCGCACTAAGGGTGTGGTGTCACTCACGGTGCGGGGTGAAGGCGTGTGCGGGATAAATAAATAACAAGGAAACCAGGTGCTAGTCAGACTGACAAACACAGCAATCCCTGAGGGGCGTGGACGAGAGCAGGGCCAGGGGAGGTAGCGACGGTCCCGTTGATCGTGTGCGGACCCGGGAAAAGCAGGAAGCGACTCGAGATTTGTTCCGAGCGCGCCCTCCAATGGCGTGTGGGGAACGCGGCTGGGCGACCGACGGACGACAAACAAGATAGACAGGGATATTGTCTTTTTGGTTCGTTGTTGTTTATAATGTTTGATTGAGAGTTTGTGGTGTTTACGAACAACTCAATAGATATTTTCAATTCACAATTTGCGAACCTCCCCCTCTCATAATATCGTATTGCCATGGCTAATAATTTAATTGTGTATATTAGTGACTACCATCGAAGTCAAACCAGTAGCTCATTGTCTAATAGGATTGAGTACTAGTTGCGCCCGTAAGTGATGCTACTAGTGAATTCTCGGTACAGTATAAACTATTTCCAACTAGATTTGAGATAATCAGCAACAGACACCAACTTGTAAAAACCTGATCCACGTTTAAAGACATTATATAGCCTGCTTACTCTGTAATTAGCGTCAACCTCAATAATTTTGTGTATTTTTGAAAACTATCATTAGGTCGTAGACACATATACGTTTAGTCTCGGCGCCACGGCCCCTCTTTCGGGGGGCTGAGGCTCGAGTCTATGCTCACCGAAAGCAGCTTGTTGCTCGGTCGACGAGACGAGAATTGGGAGAGAATCTGCATCGGGTCGGTCATGCGGGGACGAGTGCTGGTAATCATCTCCAGCCTCGTAGCCACGAGGGGAGGCCGTTGGGACGGTTCAGTACCCAGACTGGGCTCCACCATCACTTGCAGTTCCAGCTTACTCACCATTAAGGGTGGTTGCTGCGTGGAACTACTGCCACTGTCCTTAGACGCCATCCAGGGGATAAGCAGGGTGGGAGCCTCGGCCAGCGAGCCCTCCACCACTGCTACTTCATCGCTTGGCGTTAAGGGTACCAGCACCACTGCCATTGCTGAAGAGGGCGCCACAATTTGCGATGGGACGTCGAATGAGCTCTCTGAGGCGGAAATTGCCAGCTCGATATCACTGGCAAACGACGAGCTTGACGAGTCGTCAATGGCGCCGTAGCTTCGAACTGGCAGCGTGCTTTGAAGCACGGTATTGCACAACGGACACAGTCGCCGGAAATTGATGAGCCAGTTGCTTAAACACTTTTCGTGGTAAAAGTGTTTGCAGGGGAGCACGAGCACGCGGGTAGCAAGCGGCGTGTACTTGTCGAGACAGATCAGACACTTGTACGAAGGGAAGAAGTGTTGGTGAGCCACCAATACCTCAATTCTGCTCGGTAATTGGGAGATGTCCACCTGGGACCATTGGCCGTCTTCAACCACCAAAGACACTTCCAGCAGCGGCAACGGCACTGACGTGCCTGGTTTCTGCTTGGTAACACTGAGATAATGCCTAAAATGACGCGCATTCACCATATGGCTGACATTGTAGATGTACACCGGTAAACTCTTCACTGCCTTCATGTTGCGGCGGTTAATTCTCCGATGACGCAAGCGCTGGCCGAGCACCACGGCCAAGTAGAACAAGATCACCAATAGCGGTGGCAGAAGCACCATCAGCAAGAGGAGGGCAAACCAGTTGCTCACCAGCGCCGTGGCGATCTCGGCGACCGCGGTTCCGGCCTCTTTCATCTCCAAGTAGTCGTCGTGAGCAATAAACAAGATCGGCACTTTCACCGACCCGTCCAAATTGAAGGTGTTCGAGTACATGGTGATGAGCCCGCCCACGGGGTCGTTATTGGCGACAATCACCCCCAGCGGCGATAGCGCGAGGACGTGGCGGATTTTCTCGACGAAGGTGCATTTGCCCCGAAGCACCACCACCGTCCGGTTGGCGTAGTTGTCGTCCGGGTCCGGGATCGGAGCGCAGGCGTCGACGGCGGGGTCAAGCACGATAAACTCGGTGCGGAGCGGGCCGGCCAAGAGGGCACTGAACAGGGCGTAGCGGCCGATCACGTGGAAGGGGGTGGCGTCGGCCGTCACGTTGAACTCGATGACAGCGTTGACGGGGAAGAATAGGTTGAATACGCTGTTGATGGGGCTGACGCCGTCGAGGTCCATGCGCCGGCCCACCACGGCCCCGGAGACAAGCGAGAGCCACCACACAGTCCACACACCCAAAGCAAGCATGGCGAACGCTCTAACCAGCGCAAAACAAGCCCAGCAAGCTCAATTAAACCAGGGGGAAGTGCCGCAAGCGGAGCGTGGAGATTACGCTTCGGGGGTGTTGGTGACCGATCAGCGCGCGAACCCCCCCTGCGTGCGGCTTTAGGCCTGGAGCAGCAAAGCGATCACCAAGCGTTAGATTGACCCATAGTGTCGGTTGATCGTGGGATATGAGAAGATGTTGTAGATCGAAACAAAAAGTGAGCGGATCGGACTTTTATGGCCGAAAGCAGCTTCAGGGTGCTCGCGTGTCGAGGGATCCCTGAGTGACCTTAGCATCATCCTATGGTCGTAACATGTTCGATAGTGGCTGACATTGAGTATACTACCTCTGCAAGAAACTGTTTTTGATATGCCAATACGAGCTGGGCTAAACAAGTCTCCGTGAATCACCGGAATAAGGTTCGTCGAACATATCTACTGCATCACTACTAATCTTGACACATCACGTCGTACTTGTAATTACTATATTTATACTTGCTTATCTGACGACATTTATTCGACTGGCTTGCTTATATAAGCTGAATCCAGATATTACACTCGGTATTCAAGTAGTTTAGTCAAACCTCATCAAACCTGGTAATTAGTGCTTCAAATGCTGTTGAATAAACCCTTTTCGAAGCACCAACGTCTTCGATCGTTTTGTCTCACGATCATCCCTTACTATTTGACGTTGGTTGTTACTAATGATGGGCTCATTTGCTACGCCGTTGAGGCTCAAGTTTACTTTGTTGGCTAAGCGTTTGTAGGCATCGACAAGGCAGCAGGGGACTAAAGAATGAGACGAGTTGTAGTCACAGCAATATGATGCCTTATATTGGCCTACAACTTTACAGATACCTCGAAGCGATGCACACATCACGACTTTGCCAAAGTTTGACCGGACACAACTCTCCAATGACTAGATCTTAAACATTAGCATCGAGATCGTTTCCAATAGTAAACGCAGACCTCTTCATATAACTTTGAGTGTAGTTTCGAAGCCATCAGTGAGTTGTAGAATCCTTGAAACGTGCTTCATCTAGGTTTGAATTATGTTCGAAATTGTTGGATAATACCATTTCGAGGCTCATAAAAGAAAATTTGGAAACTTTGGACAAAATCGGCCTCTCTCAAGATTCTAGACATAGCAAATCAAATAATTCCATTCTCATAAACCTATTACAAATCTATAAATCTCTAAACGCCGTCTTAGTGGCTAAAATCAAACCCGGGAACATGAGGCCCTCCATTATTGTACCGTTGATTGTTCAGGTAGGAAGTGTCCTGCTGGTAGGCGTTGGTGCCCAGCAGGTACCCTCCGTTGGTCGGTGGTTGATAGGTATTTCTCAGCAGGTACCCATAATCGTTATGACTATTGTCCACCGCTCCACCGGTGGTATTGGTAGCAGTGTTGGCGAACGCACTGTTGTAGCCGGTACTGGAACCAGAGTTAGACCCGCTATTAACGCCGGAGTAAGAGCCGTTATTAGCAGTGGCAGTAGCCGAAGTGTTGGCAGCTTGATGGGGGTAGCGAGTGCTAGGGTAGCCATCATTATAAGAGAGCCCCCCTATCGTCGAGAGGGGTTGCTGGATATACTCGTCGCTCGGTTGCGAGTGTCTTGGCGGGAGCAGCGAGTCAGTGCCGAACACGAACGTGGCCAGACTATCGTCGGGAGTCACGTAGGAGTGGGGTCGCTGGCGGTATTCCTGAGCCTTCAGCTTCATCCACACCAGGTCGACGTCGGCCAACAGGTTCAGGTCCTTATATTGGGGGTTTTCCGGTTCGTTCTTCATCACCGTCTGGCCCAAGTTCTGCAACTCATCGCCCTTATGCTTAGTGAAGATGAGACCCAGACGACGCTTAGCGTACATCGGGTTGAGGAACGACGCCCGGTCATCCTTCGTGGGACGGTAGCGACCATCGGAGTTGCGACTGAGAAGAGCAATCAAACAGGTGATACACGTCCACAAAAGAAGCACAAGCGCCACCACCGCGTTCAAAATAAAGAAAATAATCCCCATGATCGACGACACCGCAGCAGGCTGGGTGAAGATGTTGGAGAAGAAGGCAAAGAAGAACGCGTTGAGGAAATTGATAATGGCAAGCACGATGTTGAAGGCGTTGGTGGGGGTATCCATATAGGGGCGAACGACGCAGATGCCGATGAGGTAAAAGAACTCGGTGATGAAGACAATGAGCGCCCCCGCCTTACCGTGGTTTTGCAAACAAGCGATCATCAACCCCTTAAAGATGATGTAAAACAAGGAGATACCCGTCCACCAGAACCGGTCGGCTCTGAATTGAGTGTAGATGAAGCCGAACTTGAGCAAAAACTTCAGATCACTGTACAATTTGGCGGCGGGGTTACCCATTTCTCTGATTGACTTGATCCCTTGGATAAACACCATGACCGTGGCGTAGATAAGCGTCAACAACCAGCAGAATAAGAGGATGGCGGCGAAGACGATGGTCCCGGCCGAGTCGCGTTCAAAGAATTGCCACACACACATGACGATGATTTGGGGAAGGGACACGATGAACAACCGGTACAACGAGCCTTTGATGACTTCTGGCCACAGCGACACCAACGAGAACAGCGGGTTGTGATCGACGCTCTTGCCCTTACGCTTACGCGCGTAGCGGCTGATAAGCATGATTTGGTGGATGATGAACCACACCACCAACATGCAGAAAAGCACAAACAACAAGAACATGATCAGGGTCATGAAGAACAGGGTGATTTCGATGCCGGCAAGGTAGGCGACTCGCTGCATCCCCCGCAACACCAAGATCTTTGACGCCAAATTAGGGTCTTTTTCGTCGGTGGAGTAGAGCCCCGAGCTGTAGTCGTAAGTGTAGCGGTCTTTATCCATCACCAACGAGAACCGTTTAAACAACGTCAAGTGGTCCTTTTTGACCGCCTTTTGGTATAACTGGCTGAGCTGGTCGTAGTAGCTCGAGTCACGCTTCTTTTGTACGGAAATCGAGAGTCTCAGCCCGGCGGAGTCGAGGATATCGGAGGCGGTGCCCCCCGTCAGCTGGACGTACCAATTGGCGACGTCCTGCATGAACCCCACCTTCATGATCCCTACCGACCACATGAAGTTCTGCGCCCAGGCACAAGCGATCGGGGGCGCCCGGGCCACCGCCTGCATCGACACCAACGCCACCAGCTGGAAGTAGACGAAGAGGGAGAGCGAGTTCAGCGCGATGTGGGCAGCAGTGGACGAGTAACCAAAGAGACCGACGAGCCACGACGTGATCACCCCAACACCGGACACGGCGGCGATGGGCCACGAGGCGTACTTGGTCTGGACGGACTTGCCGTTCAGCAACACCGCCTCGACACACGCGAGCACTTCCAGCGACGTGTTCGACCGGAAAAGCACTCTGACCCTGGCGTCGAGGTCGGGGACGGTGTAGGCGATCCCGGGGATCTGGCGGGTGACGTCCTTCAGCACCTCGATCTTAGTATTCTGGAGGTCGATATGCCCCGGCTGAAAGGGACAGATCTGCTTCTGGTTGAAACTGCAGAAGCTGAAGTTCTTATTGAGCACGTTGAACCCGTACACGATCAAGTTGACCTCGGCCTCCATGAACGTGTTTTCAGCGATCAGCGAGAGCGCCAGCACGTCGATGTAGATGGTGTTGTTCCCAGGGTAGAAGATGACGTCGAAGTTGGTGGCGGTGAACTGGGAGTTGTCCATACATGTCAAAAGCGACAGCGTCTTGATGTGGCGGACGGCGGCGGCGGCGTGGAGCCAGAGAAACCACACCCACAACAACATAAGGGTCAGCGACAAGCGAGGGGAGACTGCGAGGGTGACTGCGAGGTTTTTCGAAAGCGCTCTGGGGCTGAGGGATGTAGGGGAGGGCGAGCTACCACTAAAAAGAAATCCGCTGTGGGGGGGGGGGTTGCGCAATCAATAGCGCTGACCTATTGGTTGTGGGTTATGCGGCCCGGGTGCACTATGTAGGAAAAGAAATACAAAAAACATGTACGTTGATGATAAATATCGCTCCGGCATATAACACGGCCTAAAAACGATAATCTAATCAAGTCACCGGGTCTAAGACATATATCGTCAAACTTTCTCCCCGTATCGGCTACTAGATTTAAGACCCATTAACGTCTATTATTAGCCAAGCCCTCTCGGCCCTCGCCAAGGTTCGGTGCAGGGGGGGAAGCCGATCCGGTGCTATCTCCGGTTTGTGGGTGCTTGCCTGCACCGTAGGGCAAACTGCCGAGAGGGGCCGCAAGGTGTCGAGGTGACAGTGGTAGATGCACGTAATTTGATCCCTGCTTTGGGCGGTTACTCCGCCAACCGGCAACTTAGCATGCACACCCCATATACGAGGTTTCTACTGGGCCTTTTGTCCTACCTTTGCTCTCGAGAATTCGAGATTACGTTTAAGCCAGCACCGCCTCGTTGCGGGGTCTCCATCCCCCCCTGACCGGAGGTGTCGGTACCGTTGCCATTCCAGAACACCCGCCCAGCCATTTTTTTTTTTTGTCCTTTCGCACGCACAGCTTACATAAGCACTTACGTCAGTTGACAACCGTGAAAAATCTCAACCCTGACGGTCTTGCGACTCGCTACAACCTCCTGCATATAATCGAGCAGTCATCACACAAAGCCCTGGCTCCACTAACCCATACATCCTAGCAGCAAACGCCCTCCGCCACCGCATGGACGAGTCGTACCACGATGCCCACGCCACCCTCTCGTCTAAATTCCCCGCGCTAGCCGAACAGCTTTTGCTCCACGGCAAGACGATCGCCGATATCCTCTTAGCTGACGACGCCACTTTATCGAAGCAAATCAACTGGCTGGTCCGCGAGATCGAAGACTATCGGCGGGTGTTGAACGGGTTGCTCACTCTGAAACCAGTCGATGTTCGTGAAACGGTTTCGGGCGATGTTGGTGGTTGTATCTCTACTGGATTACCTCAATTAGATGCCGACTTAGGCGGTGGGATACCACGGGGCGATATCACGGAAATCTTTGGCGAACTGGGCAGCGGCAAGTCCCACTTGATGCTTTCCATCGCCGTCAATTCAGTTTTGAAAGGGGACGAGAAGTGTGCCTATATTTGTACGGAAAAGTTCCTCGAGACCAAGCGTCTTCAGGCGATGGCTGACCACTTCCAGGTGAACGTGGACAACATCAGCTATATCTATTGTGCTAATCTTGAAGCCCAGGACCATATATTCACCACCCAATTACCGATACTATTGGCTTCAGGCGATTATAGCGCGGTGGTGATTGATCTGATTTCTCACCACTGGAGACTAGACCAGCCGTTCACCACCAATAGCTGTCTTGATGACAAGATTTCAACGTTAGAGGCTCAGTTGGATGAAGACGAGTTGGCCCAGGTGGCTAGCACTCCCACCAAACCCAAATTCGCGTTTATGACGGCTGCTTATGAACGTCGTATCACTAAACAGTTTTTGGCTAACGATACCGTACGCCAGCTCATGAAGCTTGCCACCGAACATAACGTGGCGATTGTGGTGGGCAACCAAGTGGCGGATAACGTCAATAAGCCCGTCGATGCCTCCCAGTTCCAAGGGGCCGATGATCCATTTAATTATGACTTTATTAGTGGTGTGGCTCTGGGGTGGACTCCTGCCACTCTACAGCAATTTAACCATGTCCCCGTCGATGTCCTGATTGATATCCATGCTATGGACCCTTATCGACGTATGGTTTCAGCGTTGGGACCCTCGTGGCTCAGATGGTCGGCTAATCGAGTCCTCGTGAAAAAGAGCTACCACGTGGCCAAAACCGACGATGAGCTTGAAGAAGAAGCTAGTACGGTGTGGAACGTCAAACGCAGTGCCGTGGTGGTGCTGCTGAAAGGTATTTGTGATAATACGGTCGATCCAGTGCCATTCACTATCACCGCCACTGGTCTTGCTGCCACTACTGCCACTGCGTGACTCGGGACCACTACCGCATCCCGAGTCAAGAACTGACTCACACATAGCATCCCCGCAACTTCGATAGCATTGCCTCACATTTGCCTTTACACTGCGCGCGCGCACTTCGGCACGTGGTCGTGCGCCGCCCCATTTAGTCGTCGACACACCCACCCTCTCTCCCTCAAGGTTCTGAGCCGGTGCCCTCACGTTTTCTACCACCGCCATCCTCACTCACCCGTCCTCACTACACACCCCTCCTCCCACCATGAAGGTACGTACCCAGCGCTACAACAGCTTACACAGCTAGCGAGCAATTACTATGGTTAATTGCTCCATGCTCCATTCCCTATGTTCCTCCTCAACCCCTACTAACGCCACCAGTTTATGGAAGAGGTCGACATCGAGCTCGTGAACCAAGAGCTCAACTTTGAACCGCACGGGTCCAATCTCGTCGTCAAGGGCGGCTGCGACTTATTCTCCATTAAGAAGGTTAAAGACGACCACCGGTTATTTAAGACGATCGAAGCCCATTTGGACCAGATTATCGAGGATAACGAATTGCTGAAATCCGTCGACCACGACCGCACCAATCTGTTTTCGCTCTACGGGCTGAGCGCCGGGCTGGTGGCGACCGTCGGCCAGCGCCGAAATAGCCACATCCCCCCTGGCGGCGGCGAGCGCAGCCGCCATAACCTGATGCTGCACCAGCCCGCGACGGCGCACCGCGGCCTGTTTGGCGACGGCGATGACGAGCTGCCGTTCGGCCCCCTCCGCGAGATCCACACCCGCAAGACGTTCGCGTACCTCATTGGCATCCTCAACACCACCTTCCCCGACCACGACTTTTCCAACTTGCAACCGACGACGGAAAACTTTCACCGCATCCTGACCGAGGAGTTGATGACTAAGTTCAATAATGTGCTTTTGCTGTTAGGTAAGCGCCAGGACCAGCTCAGCTGGATCTGGGACACCATCAACGTCTACATGGACATAATAGCCCTGAATCAAGGGCTGCCGTTTTTGGCGCCGCAACTGCTGCCGGCGGGGCTGAGGAAGAACAGTTTTGCCGGCCAGGAAGGGCGCCGCGGCCTGGTGAGCAACGGCGCCGGTGTCCCCCAGGGCGCCGACCACATCCAGGTGTACCTGTTCCAGCCGCTGGACGACCTGATCTTGGAGGACTTGATGTACCCGCACCGCACCATGTGGCAGAACTACTGGTTCATCTACAACCGCAAAATGAAGCGGGTGCTGTTTTTGTACCTTGTGGCGCTAAATAAGATGCATTACACCCAGCTGGCGCTGGCGCTGCACCAAAACTTGGCCGACGCGGGGCTGGTGCTCGAGGAAGACGCCCCGATGACCGACGGCGACGACATCATTGGCGACATGGAAATGTAACATTTATACCACGAAACGAAAGCTCAAATGACTCTATAATCGTGATACCGATACATTTTGTCGTAAACCACCACCAACCACCGGGCGACGGCGTCGCTGTCTCCATTGGCGCCCCATAACCCCGGGAACGCTTGCTGCCCCGGCGCGTACACCACGTGGTCCCAGCTAGTGTCACCGTCAACGTGGAGATAGTGGCGGTCGCGCTCCTCTAATTTGAACCCGGCCTCAATCCGCAAAAGGCGGTAGTTGCTCGCCTTAAACTGGGCGTAGTGGAGAAGCTTTTTGTGGTAGCGGTACCATGCGTAGTCGGTACGCACCCCTTGGAGCGCCTCGTCGCTCACAGCGTCGATCTCGGCGCCCGTTGCTACCGCCTTATCCAACAATTTGGTTACTTGTTGGTAGATGTCTTCCACCGTCACGGTATCAGTGTCAAACCGCAGCGCTAATTGCCATCCTGAAAATGACGACGTGGCCACCGTGGCCTCCAAGTCCTTGGGGTTGGCGTGAGCGTGCCAGTGGCGAAGATAATCGGCGAGACGGCGCATGTAGTGCTCGACCCCATACTCAACAATCTCGCGCTCACTCATCAGAATCGTAAGCAACCCCAAGTGGCGCACCAACAGCAAGTGCCGCTCGTAGTCAGTGTCGACGTTTTCGGATTGCATCCACTCAAGGCCAAATAAGTTAGAGTTAGCCACGTAGGGTTCAGTAGAGTTAGCAGTAAACTTGACGTTAATCACCGGACAATTAAGCCCGACACCCACCGTATAGGCATCGATACCAGTTAATTGAGAGACCACGTCGTTGGCGCCAAGCAGCGACTGCTGTTTCCACACCTCGTGCAACGTGGTACGATTATCGTAAATATCGTCGTAGTCGTCGTTATCGTCGTCTTCGTCAGTTTTGTGGAGTAAAGTCAATGGAACGGGGATGAACCGCAGCGTAGAGTTGATGAGGTGGTAAAGTAAAGGCGAGGCGTCCACATGGAACTGGTTTCCGGTGACTGGTTGGGGCTCAACATTAATATAACCCACTAAGTGTTCGTATTTGGAGTTCAGGACGAAGTGGCGCGACCCCACTAACCCATTGTTCAGCGCATCCCACAGGATAAACTCGATCGTTCTCATTGGGCGCCACCCAATTCTTTTGAGCTCTTGAAGATGACGAATAATCTCAAAGATAATCGCATGGTTATTGACGCCATCGGCATTACCAAAGGCATCGCGAGCAGCACCAACGACTACCTTACCATCACTCATCACTCCAGGTAACGTACCGACGACATTCTTCACCGTTCTGTCTTCATCGGGGGTATCGAACTGAGCCGATACCCGGAGAATGTACCCTGGTTGAGGCACTGCCTCAAGCTCCTGAGCTTCATTCCGGTCAAAGGTATCGAGTATCGGCTTGATATCGTTGTAGGCGACAGGGAGGGCGACGATGGGCGGCTGAGCACCAAAGATATCGGTAAGGGTAGCACGAGGGATCGCCAGGCGAGCACGCCACAGCGAGTGATCAGTAACGTCCACGTAGACAAGCACTGCCAGTGCCCCACGTGAGGCAGCGGTATGTACTAGTTCGGAGACCGGAGTGGTATTATTCGTGCGTAACCGGAGAATGACGATCTTATCGGTGACGTCAACCTTTTCATAGTCTTTGGCAGTGCCGTAATTAAGCCACACATAGTCACCTTCAACGGTACCGTCGACTCCGAACCCATAATAGGCCGGAGTAGGATCACGTGGTCTCTCTCGAAGCGACGAGTGGTAAAGCTCGGTATCGTTGGCTTTAAGCCAAATACCACTATCCACGGGGGTATCGAGTCCGTTTACCGATGTCTTACGAATTTCCGTGGTCAAACCAAGCTGTTTAAACTGGTCAAACACAAATTGCGTCAAATCGGAGTTATCCAGCGACGCCAAGTTCACGGGCAGCTGGCGGCGTAATTCGCTCAATTGCTCAACCCACTCGCCGATATAGCTCGCCTGTTCGTGGGACAGACTTTGGTTAGCGATCCCGGTGTATTGAAGGAAGGACGTCTTGACGTCCACATAGGGGAAGTGGAGCCCATGCCACCGTCTAAAATCTCTCATTACCAGGGTCCGTTGGCGGAAGAATAAGTGGAGGATAAGCAAGGCTATTAGCCCTAAGAAGATTGCCCAGATCAGGCGTCGGGCCAGTAGCCGGGGTGGCGGCTTTTCGACCACTTCCTCGGTCTCGGCGGTAACCGCTCCCGACGAGGCCGCCTGGGCCTCCAGATCGAGTAACGGAGTGGTCTCGGATGTAGTTTCATTGGTAGGTACCGCAGTATCCAGTACTGGGTGTGTTTGGCCCTCAATAGGGCGTGTATTGGACATAGGGGGGGAGTGGTATGTGGTGGTTAGGTGGTGAGCGTGGTTAAAGGCGATAAGCGAGGGGAGGGTGTTTTGTGCCCAGCAATTATTGTTAGTGAGACAAAACAGTTAGGGGAAAATGAAACCTCCCACGAAACAAAGCAAATGTTAACTAGTGATGAGAAAGAATTAAATCGTGAGCTTTTATTCTTTCGACCTGATTGAAGTGGGTGATCGTCAACCACGTGTCTGATGAGTCCATTTTGATTACGGTTCAGTCCCCCTTGATCATTTAACAATCACCAGTGTTTGTGTCACTTCCATCACCTGGTAACAGAATTGCCCTTTGGTAACGGCTCTCTCACTCATACTCTCATCCTCGCTATAGGGAATCTCAATTCGCACAGCAGCTAACCGTGGGAGATCACAATTCCAGTTAGTGAGCACAAGATGTAGATCAAATTTGAGTTGTTTAACTTTGAATACGCTTGAGTATAAAGAAAACTCGCAGTTTATAAAGATATAACTCATTTCAAGCTATAAGCCGATGAATTGATCTGGATTATTTAGTGTTTGTTACGGCTTGATGGCATTGAATTGCCCATTCTGCGAATCCATATTCCGAGTTCAAAAAACAATCAATGCCAATTATATCCAATAAACCATGATATCAGTTGCAAAAGCCTCCAAATCAATTCAGATCATTTTCTATCCTCCTACCCCTACTCCCCTCCGTTGGTTCCGAGCCGCACGGGGCGCGCGCATCGCGGCCACTTTTTCATCCCCCGAGCGCCTCTCACCCAACCCAGTTACCAGGACCCCATATCAACTCCAGATGCAAGCGCCCGTGGTGTACTTGAACGCCAACACCGAGCGCCAGTCGGGGCGCCAGGCCCAGGTCGCCAACATCACCGCCGCCAAGGCCGTCGCCGACATCATCCGCACCTGCTTGGGCCCCAAAGCCATGCTCAAAATGTTGCTCGACCCCATGGGGGGCATTGTCCTCACCAACGACGGCCACGCCATCTTGCGGGAGATCGACGTGTCCCACCCTGCCGCCAAGTCGATGATTGAGCTCTCCCGCACTCAGGACGAAGAAGTGGGCGACGGTACCACCACCGTGATCATTTTGGCGGGCGAGATCCTCGCCCAGACGTTCCCTTACATCGAGAAGAATATCCACCCCGTCATCATCATCCAGGCGTTGAAGAAGGCGCTTGCCGACGCCCTCGACGTCATCGAGCTGGTGCTGATCCCCGTCGACTTGGACAACGACGCCGCCATGGTCCAGTTGATCAAGGCGCTGATCGGCACCAAATACGTCAACCAGTGGCTGGAGAAGATGTGCCAGCTTGCCCTCAAATCGGTGCGCACGGTGGCGGTGGTCGACGGCGACCACAAGGAGGTGGACACTAAGCGTTACGTCAAGATCGAAAAGATCCCCGGCGGCGAAGTCACCGACTCGGAAGTGTTGGATGGGGTCATGCTTAATAAAGACGTCACCCACCCCAAGATGAAGCGGCATATCGAAAACCCGAGAATCATCCTCTTGGACTGTCCCTTAGAGTACAAGAAGGGTGAGTCGCAAACCAATATTGAAATCACCAAGGAAGAGGACTGGAACCGGATTTTACAGATCGAAGAGGAACAGGTGAAACACATGTGCGAGCAATTGCTCGAGTTCAAGCCCGACTTGGTCATCACCGAAAAGGGGGTGTCCGACTTGGCCCAGCACTACCTCTTGAAGGGCGGCGTCACCGCGTTGCGCCGGGTGAAGAAGCTGGACAACAACCGTATTGCCCGTGCCACTGGCGCCACCATTGTCAACCGCATCGAGGACTTGAAGGAGCTGGATATCGGTACCAAGTGCCACGAATTTAAAGTGGAACTTATTGGTGATGAATACTTCACGTACTTGACTAAGTGCGACAACCCCAAGGCATGTACCGTGGTGTTGCGCGGGGGGTCTAAGGATATCCTCAACGAAATCGAACGCAATTTGCACGACGCGATGGCGGTGTGCCGTAACGTCATGTTTGAACCGAGATTGTCCCCCGGTGGTGGGGCTACGGAAATGGCGGTGTCGGTGAAGCTTGCAGAGAAGGCGAAGACGATCGAAGGTGTCGAACAGTGGCCGTACCAGGCGGTGGCCGACGCGTTCGAGGTGATCCCGCGCACGTTGATCCAAAACTGTGGGGGTAACGCCATCAGAACCCTCGCCCAATTGCGGGCGAAACACGCCGCCGGCGAAAACACCTGGGGGATCGACGGCGACAACGGTAAGGTGGTGGACATGCGCGAGTACGGCATTTGGGAACCGGAGGTGATCAAACAACAGTCGGCAAAGACCGCCATCGACCTGGCGGCGTTGTTGTTGCGGGTGGACGACATCGTCAGTGGTGTGCGCAAGCACGAATAGGATACATAGTAAAACACGATTAATGAAACAAGCCTATTTGAGTACATTCAGTTGTCTGCTCAAAATGAAGTCATGCCGGATAGGTCTGACATGAGATTAAACTGTGAAATGTATACTCATTTACTGATTTTCATTATTAAGTTAATTGTTTATTGATTATGAATTTTTCAGACAATCACGCACAAGTCGAAGAAACGGAAGTCCTTTTCGAGAGAGTAGTTGTCCTTGGGGGTTTGCGAGTTGGATTGGGTTTGTTGAGCAGCCATTGTTGATTGTGGATGTATCAGGGTAGGATGTATACTATATAAGCTGGTATGGTGGGGTTATCTCGGTTACCTGATTGAGCCATGACAATCAACTCAGGTGGAGCCCCCACCCCGATTAAGACATCACAATCAATCTACTCGTTTGAGAAGTATACCCTGATTTAATAGTGACCCCCCCAAGCGTCAGTTGCATTCAGTGACTAAGTATTTAAAATTATCAATTTCATTTCATTAACAAAATAGCCTTATTAACCGCTATACTTTCTTTCGTATGCTACTTATATCTCAACGGTGTAGTGGACGAGAGAACCATCCACAAACCTCCACTGACCGTCCTCAAACTCTTGCCAAATCAGATCCACCACATCCACATCTTTCGTTGCTCGAGCCACTGGTTTTTTGCGCCAATGGATACGCTTGCTTTTGTGGGTACCTTTCGATTTGTTCCAATGGCGGCAGTAAGCGATGAAGCGGTGAGTCGTTCGGTGGTTTTCAAACGAAAGCTCAGTAGAGCAGTGAGTACACACTGTGCGGCCGTTGATCTCAACAGGATCAGGGATAAGCTCACCGTTCAGCAACACCCCGTGATGCTCCACTAAGTGGTTGAGGTATCCCAGACATTTGAGGTTGAACGTTCTCACCTCGGGACAGTATGGGCAAATGGCATGCTTTGATTCCACGCGTAAATTGCCAGACCCCATTACCACGGCAATCCTAGAGAGGCACCAGTTCTCCCTCATCAGCGTCTGAGGGTTTGTCCATCGAATGCTGACCAGGCAGTTGGCCAACACCCGGTTTTCCTCAACGTAGACTCGACAGTGACCATATACCACATTCTTGGAGCAGTCGACGACAAATTGCACCTCGACATTTGATAGCTCAATGACATCGTGGCTGGTATCGATGGTGATTGTGGCGTCTCTGATGAGCTGGAGCCGGCTGCCGTTGAACACGTGAAACTCAGTCAAGTCCCGCTCAATCAAGTAGTGATTCGGGGCATAGGTCGACTCCTGCGAGAATTTGGGGTTGGTTATGATGATCAAGTTGTCGACAGCATCCACAAGGTCGTTGATATTTTTGCGGTAGATGTGACCCCGAAGCACTGCCAACGTCCCCATCGTCGACGGCTTAGCATCTGACCGTTCGATGATACGGCGGCGTGACGGGCCGCGTTCAGTGCTGAAGCCCAACAGGCCCCAGTTGATGTGGGTGTGCTGTAAGTGGGTGCGGTTGGCACCATTGTGGGAGAGCTCGGGGTGGTTGATACGGTAGAGGTCGCGGTCAGGCACCGGTTCTTTGTGTTTAGGCAGAGGGAGGCACTCGAAGCGGCGTTCGGGGGTGTGAGAGGGGCCAGAGTGGAGGTCAATGTGGGTGAGAGAGTCGGATTCAGGGAGGAGGAAATTGAGGTCGTCGAGATCAGCGGAAGAGAAAAACTCGGTGACTTTGGTGTCGAGGTCGGTCTGCGAGTGGTCGGGCTCCACCAGCGTGAGCGCTGTGAGCGAGGTGTCTAAAAAGTCGAAGTCGTCAAAACAGTCGGAGTCGAGCTGAGACATCCACAGCAGATCGGTGGTCATGGTGAGAGAGTGTGGTTTGACTCTGGGAGAGGCATAGTCCAGTTTATATCTAGCTCAGGGCCGCATTGGTGTATCCATGGCGGTGTGGTGTTCTGAGTGTAGGCATTTGTTTGTGCATCAATATTTAGTGCGCGCTCTGCAGCATGGGTGTAGCGATGCGGACTCTGCAAGCACTTTAAACTGTGCGAACGTAGACCCAATGCATTGCCGCATAGTACACCTCAATAATAGCGCTTATTTTGGAGATAACTCGACGTATTTCGCATCCATGAGCTTGGCGAAAGGTCATCGTACAAGAATACACGCGTGATAGCATCGCGACAATGAATAGTATAGCCTTATTGGTGTCGAAAAACTCATGTAAAGGGGATTGCACGATTTTATAAAACCCCTGAAGGTGAAGCAGTTGCAAAGGTATTTAATAAAATGAGTCGAGAGATCCAATGGGTGGACTCGGTGTTGTGCTGGATGGTATTTAGTAATCACCTTATTTCTTGTGGCTTAGCTACCAGCGGTTAACTTCAACGAGTGTTTTTTGATCAATGGTACAATCGTGAATAATGGATTTCTCCTTAACTGCAGGTTCTCCCCGCACAGTCTATACAGGCCACAACCTAGGAATAGGTATAAAAGCCCCAGCACTTCGCACCTAGAAATTTATCTTTATCATTCACTACCTGGTCGGTCCCGGCCATGGTATTCCTTACCCCCCTCGGGTTGTGTGGGGCTTGTCGACGTTTGAGATGAGAAAAGGTTCTGCCGGTGACACGAGATATCTCTGCCCTTTGGGCTGTAGACGAGATACTCAGCTGTCAACGGTACGATCACGAAGGCGCCATCGAAGGTCCCGGCTCTTCAGTCTTTTTCACCCGGTCATCCTTCGTGGACGTTCGGCGACTAGTGGCTGCCCCGGCGGCTCGGTCCAAAATTGAGAAGTAAAGCCCCGTACTGCCGGTGGAGACGCCCTTTTGACACACCATGGCGATCACGAGGGGTATCGAAAGAGCTCATCTTGGTCGTCCGTGGTGTGACCGCGAAATGTCTCATTTCAAGCTTGACACACAATTCTTGTATATAACTAATACAAAATCAAAGACTGCTCAACTACCTACAAGCTCGACTACAGCTCATGATTGAGCGAGTTTTCATTGGCTCCGCCAAACTAAAGCGGACTGGCATTTCACTGACACGATTCTCAAGCAGGTGAATGTCACTGTAAACGCACCCCGTCACGTTACCACCGTCTACGCTTTCGTCAGCGTTACCAAGTGAACCTAGCCAATAAACTTCCGCCGGTAAGCTGCAGAAGTAGACCTGATCGGCAATATTTCCACTCCTTCCTCTGTTTCTCATCGTCATCTTCACACGAATTGACCAGACAATAATATGTGCAGATTGGCGAGCTCATAACTGATAATGCCTACACATTCCTGTTCACTCCCTTTACGCTGCGCCACCGAATGGAACAATAAAAAAGTGCCACCCGGTGGTGCCACCCAAGTGCGCTTGAAAATTCTGCTTTCGTAATACTCCAATATTTTCTGTGCTGTGAGGCGGCCGCACTTACGACGCCCTCGTGATAGTGGGGAATGCCGCCCAGGTGCTATAGGCGATATCGACGAGTTGCGAAGGTATTGAAACGAGAGATGCAAGCAGAGGTCGCTATTGGCAGCCTACCGCAGCTAGTGCCTTTTGTGCCCCAGATCGTCGATGAACGTGCCGTAAATTTGGTTTGCCGCAGGCTGGTGCAGTATCTCGGCAAAATTCCCCTCTGCATATTTTTTCACAAGGGGTGACACTGCGTGCCGGTTGTGCTCAAAGCCCTCCCCCCTTCCCCGCCTCTCTTTCCAATTGCAAGTTCTAGCCCCTGCAAAGTCTATACAGGCCTCAGCGTAAAACAGGTATAAAAGCCCCAGCACTTCGCACCTGGAAATTTATCTTTATCATTCACTACCTGGTCGGTCCCGGCCATGGTATTCCTTGCCCCCCTCGGGTTGTGTGGGGCTTGTCGACGCTTGAGATGAGAAAAGGTTCTGCCGGTGACTCAGCTGGTGCTATCTTTGCCCCCTGGGGCCGAGATACTCTGGTCTGATGCCAGCGGTATGATCACGACGGTTCCATCGACGCATACAGCTCCTAAGTCATTTTCATCCTAACAATCCCTATTATGGGACGTTCCGGGGACTGAGCTGCAAAAGCGGTTCAGTCTAAAAGTGATAGGCAAGGCTGTGTGCGGCCGGCGGAGTCGATCTTTGACACACGACGGCGACCAGGCTCTGGGGCTTGAAAGTGCTCATCCTGGTCGTTCGTGGCGTGACCACATTATGTATTTCATTTCAAGCTTAGCACACCACTCTTGTATATAGTAAATAAATCACGAGAGACTAGCTAACAGACGGCTCTCAACATTGTTGAATTCAAAGGTTGTAGTTACTTGCGTGGCAATAATCAGCGTACGGGTGCACTATATGGAGAACAACCAGCGAAGCGCAGCTTAGAGGGTAGCGACCGGATGACACCAATACGCCGGTGGGATTTAATGGAATACCGCGCACATTGGCAATGGCCGGAAAACCCCAAAATCAACTCTCAAGATTAACTACATCTCATAACGAAACGAGCTTCATGGGGTTCCGCTGAACAAGGGTGGACTAGCATCTTATCGACCAAATGCTTAATTGTAATTTAAGTAAGCTGATGATGTAATAGTAGCTCGACCCACCCCATCACGATCCCACATTCTTGACTCTCGACAGTGTTACCAAGTCCACCTAGCCAATACCACTCCGCTGGTAACCTGCAGGAGCGGGCCTATTGGCAGTCTCTCCCCCTTTTTTTCTTTTATTTTTCCATCGTTAACTCCGCGGGTCGACAAGGCAGCGCTATGCGCAAAATAGCGTGCGCATAACTCATGCCTTAAATTAGTGCATCGTCAGTACTACCTAATACGGTCACCGTCTAGTTGGTCGCAACCTCAATCAAGAGTCTCAACCGGGCACGCCTCGTTCTCTGAAATAATGATCCACCTTATTCGACGTTACTTAGCAACCAGCCATTTTGAGCTTCCATCAAATGCAGACTAATGGCCGCTAATCACATGCGACCATTGCAGCCCCTACCCCGTAAATCGGCACCACATCATCGACTAACGTCCCAAGGATCTCAGTGCGCACATCTGAGATTGCATCTAGCACAAGATGACGTGAAAAGATGCCTAGAAAGAAACATGGCTGGCTGCAGTGGATTGCGTGACCACAAGGTCTAGATTTTCAAAGACGTCTCGTTAGACAAGAGTGGGCGGAGGCGCCGAAAAAGCGTTCCCATGTCACCGCTACCATTATGAGTGTGCCCTGGGTTTACTTTGTTGCCCAGGGGGCGTGCGTCTGCATTAAGCGCACCGGCCTCGGGTACCTGTATACAATTCTTCTCCCTCACACATTCCAATATTACCCACGTCGCCCTCATTTTTTCCCCCGTACTCTCCTGGCTCTATATAAGCTAGCAATCTCTATTGAATTTCTTTTTCTTGAAGTACCTCAGAATGGGTTTAGTGATTGGAGTGGACTTTGGGTCAGCTTACTTGCGAGGCGCTGTAAAAAAACCTGACGGTTATGGCGCTTTCTACGAGATGCCATCTGCCATTGGGGTGCGAAAGCGAAACTGGTTGTGTGGCTACAGCGCTGTACTGTACGCGGCATCGAAGCCTCATCAAGTCATTTTCAACCTCAAGCAGTTTAAGAACCCCAAGTTTTTGGAGACAGTGAAGGAGACTGATTTCCCGCATTCCATTAGCAACGGTCCCGAAGGCTTGAGCATTCCCTTGACTTTGGGCAAATCAGTGCGCGAATGGACCATCCCGGAACTTGAAGCGCGTCTGTTAGGCGCAGTGACGCAAACGGCGAAGAACCTCTACAAAACGCCTGCAACTGACGCTGTAATTGCTGTTCCCGATAACGCTTCTGACGAAGAAATCGAGTCTATTGTTAGATCCGCTATGCTGTGTGATCTCAACGTGAAGCCTATGCGCGAGCTGGTGCTTGCTGTCATTGCTAAAGGATTGGATAAGGGCCTTGGCGATCGGCTTGTGGCCGTGGTCCACGTTGGGCAATCGCTCACGATGTCGCTTGTGCGAATCAAGGATCGCGACATGTACGTCGAGAAAGTCGTCTTGCACGATGAGAAATTATGTGGCAATGATGTGGATGAACGCTTGCTCGAATTTCTCGCTCCCGGTGTGAAGACGGCAATTTGGGACCCTTTGGAAAAGGATGAAAAAAAGAAGATGAGTGTGGAGCAGCTCCAAAGCCACAAGCACGTTGTTCGGCGGAGACTATTGAACACTTTGAACAGTGGGAAAAAGAAGTTCGAATCAAAAGATTCCCACAAAGTTCAAGTGACGCTTGAAGGACAAAAGTTCAAAACTTTTCTTTTGAGCTCAAAGTATAAGGAAGTTTGTCAAAACGCGACCAGATGTATCATTGAGAAGGTGAACGAACAGTTTGAAGACGAAAACCTGACCACCGGTGACAAGCACAAGAAGCTGGACCTCTTTGCTGCTGTGATCGTTGGTGGGCTCTTCAACAACCCCGTCGTGAAGGAATCGCTCTTGGACTGCTTCAGAGACGTCCCAACGCTTTACGACAGAATCCCAGAGCAGACAATCGCGCTCGGCGGCGCGATGCACGGTGAAAAAATCACTGATGGTGGTACTATCCCCATCCCCCCCTTTCCCTTTTCCGCACCCGACGAAGGCAGCTCAGTCTAGCCAATTCGGTTCAGCGTCTTTCGGTAATTAATTTTGAGAGTAATTTGAGTATCATAGGTAATATAGCAAAATATTACGACTTAGTTTAACTTTTTATGTAGGTCTTAGTGTGTCATTGTGGTTCTAACGCATTGACCATGGGTGATATGACCCAACGATAAAAATTACAGCGGTCTTCCCTCAATGCGGTTCACGAAAATGAGCGCCCCAAATGGGTTGGTCGTGGCAATTCATTGGGGGGCTGCTGCGCCCCGCCTCACTCCCCATCGTCTCAGGCAGGCGTCGAATGCGGCGGTTGCACACTTCGATGGCGTTATAGTGGTAGCCAGGGTGAGTCCTCTTCTAATGTGTTTTCAAGACTAGTCATTGTACGGCTTACCACCTGCTCCTTTTCCTTCCTTTTCCTGTAGTTTTGGCACCCCAATCTACCTCAACACCTGACGATGCCACTGCCAGCCAAGTTGGTTATTTTCATCGGGATGCATAAATGAGACACGCATAGCGTAATCGCCCCCATGCGAATATTGGTCGACGCCAGCCAATTTTTTCACATACGGCTTGCTGGATAAGGGAGGGAGGTGAGGTCACTACTGCTCACCCCACACCGCCAGCGTACGCCGGGTTGCCAATACCACACCGTTACCAAGCAGGCGTAGTCAATGACCACCCGTCGTCAATTGGCACCAAATACAGGATTAGCCGGCGGCCTTTTCCAGTTTCTTTTTTCTCCTTTGTTCGAGCGCATCGTGCATCATCGAGTAGCTGCATGTAGCCGATGTAAACGGCATCCCTCCCGACGGGGGCGAATTAAACAATGGCGTGTCCGGGCCAATTTTGTAGGACCTCAACCAACAGCGTACGTCGTCAACGCCACCACTGGGGCGGGCCCCGTACTGATGTGACGCCATTGTTGGAGTGCCCATCAAGCGTGTTGTGTCTCGTGGGTGAATGGTTTGAGCTCCTTTGTGCGAGAAGTTTCTTGGCGACGTACGTTCCTGACCCATACAGTCAATTCAGCGCGGCACGACCACTTACGGGTTGCGTACACTGATGCCCCCCGCCTCATCATCGTTCTCCAGACATCTGCCATCTCCCCGTATATCTGCAGGCAAAGGCTAAACCTAATCTGACTATGGACGTTGAAGACAATTCCAACGAAAAGTGAGCTGTAGAAGTGGCTATAGTCATTATACTAGGGTAGTTATCATGTATATTACGACACAAATGAACTGGTAGACGGGAGCGTGGAGAGGCGCCGAGAGAGTCGTCCCAAGGTGCGAAAAGCTCCGCATACGCAAATATCCCCCTAGGTGCGATGTTGGCTGCCAGAGACCCGCCGCTCATCAAATATCATGGCCTGTGAACACACGGGTGTGGTCTATGTTACAAATAGATTGTACACCTCGGCTATATCGAATGATAACGGCAAGTAAACTGACTACTGTCGATTCTACCGAAATAACACAACCCTTGCTATCATCAGGACTACAAAGCATGTGAGGAGTGCCTTGCCACCAGTTCCAAGATATATCACTATATTGAAATTTTTTGTTACTCTGAGGTAAGGGGATTCTGGCGCAATTGGTTTAGCCAATGAGAGCTCAAGGAAAGCATCATCAAGGCGATGTCAACGCTAGCACACACAAATTTAGTCCGTAACGTACACATAGTAGTCGATTAGGTGAAGGTCACGGGACTAGGGCTTCGCGCCCTATCGGGGGGCTGGTAGAAGGCCGTGGGGCGGCCTAATTTTGAGTAGCCGACGAAGCTCGCAGTGTGAGCCCTAGTGCGAGGTTGTGGAAGTCGGAGCTGATAGATCCACCAATATCGGCGGTATTGACACGGCGGAAGTTGGTGAAACCTGCCCCTGTCGAGAAGCAGCGGGCCGCATGTTGATGTCAACGCCGATCCTTTTAGTGTTTTAGAAGACGTACGCACCCCAGATGCTCCCGACGGCATCCTGCTGGCGCACATGCAGGGCGTAGGCATAAAAGATGAAGGATGCGCACTCTTAATTCAAATTCTTATACACCACTTTGAGCGTGTCTGTTCCAATGCCTTGGGCATTCGGTGCAGGCTGCTACGACTCAGGGGTGCCGACGATATGTGGACTTGCTGCTCTAGCGGTTGCTTGGCCTTACGAAGGTTGCAAGGCAGGAGCGGGGGTCCCACTGGAGAATTCGTCGGCGCTTTGCACCGCTTGTACTGGCTGCTGTTGACCTTCTGTCGCAGGCTAGAGCGGGAGGGTGCTCCTGAGGAGTCGTCGACGTCGTGGATCTGCTGCTCTAGCGGTTGCTTGGCCTTACGAAGGTTGCAAGGCAGGAGCGGGGGTCCCACTGGAGAATTCGTCGGCGCTTTGCACCGCTTGTACTGGCTGCTGTTGACCTTCTGTCGCAGGCTAGAGCGGGAGGGTGCTCCTGAGGAGTCGTCGACGTCGTGGATCTGCTGCTCTAGCGGTTGCTTGGCCTTACGAAGGTTGCAAGGCAGGAGCGGGGGTCCCACTGGAGAATTCGTCGGCGCTTTGCACCGCTTGTACTGGCTGCTGTTGACCTTCTGTCGCAGGCTAGAGCGGGAGGGTGCTCCTGAGGAGTCGTCGACGTCGTGGATCTGCTGCTCTAGCGGTTGCTTGGCCTTACGAAGGTTGCAAGGCAGGAGCGGGGGTCCCACTGGAGAATTCGTCGGCGCTTTGCACCGCTTGTACTGGCTGCTGTTGACCTTCTGTCGCAGGCTAGAGCGGGAGGGTGCTCCTGAGGAGTCGTCGACGTCGTGGATCTGCTGCTCTAGCGGTTGCTTGGCCTTACGAAGGTCGCAAGGCAGGAGTGAGGCAGTCCACGTCAAAGCTGTCGACGTCCAGAGTCTGTGGCACTGGCCTCGACCCCTTTGGGGATGCGGGTGCTATTGTAGACCTGCTGCTCTAGCGGTTGCTTGGCCTTACGAAGGTTGCAGGGCAGGAGCAGGGGGTTCTACATATTGTATATAGATAATCGTATATAGTTTGATAAACTCCCGTCGCAAAATAGTGTAGCTCAGTCCCATATTACTTGGTCCAAATTGGCAATCGCTCTAACCCTCATCCTGGGGCGAGCGAAACTGAGATACAACGCTCTCCCATGTACGATTAGAAGAGTAGTTGCCAAATAGCTATATAGTCATCTCGCATTGGCGGTGACACTGACAATTGCACCTGGTGGACGCAGCTCAAAATGGCAACAGTGATTGGTAATACTGATTCTGCTCTCGAGGCTATGTTCATTGAAAAATCATGTTCCCTGGTCGGATAAAGCTGGATGGTTGTTGAGATCTCCATAATTCCAAGAAACCCTTCATGCCAGTGTAGGAATGTGTTGGAAAGCGTGTTGAGGTGCTGAATGCCATAGAATGTGCTGAACTAGTGCTGCCTTCATGGTGCTAGAACCTGTTGATAGACGAGACCTGTCAACCACAAAACGGACTCAGCGTTACATTCATCAGAAAAACCGCTTGGACCTTGCTAGTTACCCGCCAGTATCATTACTAGCACTCCATATGGATTTGAAAGTGTTTCTTGTCCGTCAAAAAGCTATCATTTTCTGCGGCAATGGTAAATTTGACTATGGCCAATGGGATTTCAAGCATTAAGGGACAGCGGTAGAGGAGATGACTTCAGTCCCTAACTGTAGCCAGCTTCGGCGGGTAAATTCAAACGGAATCGCTGAACGTGGGTACACGGTGATTGGCCTGATCCATGATATTGCGTTTAGAGACGCTTGCTATGTTTGATTCCTGTATCAGTGATTGTGCTTGTGGTTGTCGGAGTGTCGCATACCCATATATTGGCCAACGTAGTATCATCGATACAAGCACTTCTGATCCTCGCCGGAGCCTTGAGGTGACGTAGAAACCCCTCAATGGAAGCAGTAAAAGCATACTTTCTTGTCTCGAACTCAGCTCACCACAAATATCTGGATTGTCGATAGTCAGTTGGGCTCCAAGGTCTTAATCTCAAGTAAAAGTATCAGTTCATATAGTTGACACGAAACACTCAACTCAGCCTCACCAGGAGACGCTTGATCTCATATGGAGTCCAATAACTATCCCTCATCTTTATTGGCGTCAGTTCTGGGCCACTGTTTGCAGTCACAGTCTTGATCCCCATGATCCATAATAGGCGCGCGCGATAGCACTCACTACGCGATATCCATCAGAACTCCAACCCCTTCCAACACAATGACGAGAGCTTAATAAAGCTGGTTTACGGCAATTTGTTTGGTGATATCATTCCAGGAGACAGATTCAGGATATGATTTTGGATTTTCAGGTCACCGTGGTGGGCAACGCCGGCGTTGATTACCAGGAGGTCATTGTGGGAATACCCAACGAAATGTCCCACACTGACCCGTTTCTGGTCACTAATGGATTTGCTATTGAAATATTTTCAGCTCGATTGCTCAGGGAGTATTTGAAGCACGGAGAAGGGACTCTTATTTCTTCATGGAGGTCGCTACCATCCTCACCAGGATTGACTGAAGTTCCTAGGCCATTGCGTGATCATAAAAGTGGTCGCTTTGTCGAAAGCAACAGGGACCTGAAATTGCAGTCACAAGCATTGCATGGCTTCGAGCTTCAACGTGTGGGGTGCAAATGACACACCGCCCTCGACAATGCTGAGGACACAGTGTCGGTAGCAGCACTGGGGCTCTCACTGGCACGTGGAACCAGAGCTTGATATATGATGGTCTAGGGGCAGACGCCCAAGTGGTGTTGTGGTACATTGGCTACTGTGAGCAGGAATGTTTCCGTTTAATGGCAAGAAACTTAGACATTACCAAGGACATTGTCTTGTCAATCGAGTGCCAGTGGGATACGGATGGCTGCTGTGGGCGTACACAATACTTCCGTCGCTGGAAAGCCTTCAGGAGCTAACACACTAGTTTTGAATATTCCAGTTTGGAACTTGCTTGTGGCTGGATGATACGGCTTTTGCCAGTACTGGACGCTTTGTAGACTGTAATTCAGTTGTGATTGGTTATTGGGACCAATTGTCACTGACAGTCGCATATATATTTGTACTGGTTTCAATAACATTAGTTTGATTACATGATTTATCTGGGATATGGCTGGTCTTCCGAACATCACGATGATTTCTGATTACGTAGATGGACCACTGGTTCCAGGTTTCCAAAAATAACTTCCACTGCCTGTATCACTGGATCACCGTATCCACGAGCAGCCAGCGCTTCCGGTGGGCCAATTTCAGGTGAACTATAGCCGTGGCTCTGTGCACACCAAAAGCAATACCCCGTACGTTCAGCGTGGGGTATCCGTTAACTATCTATCCAGAAATAGATGATGATAAATCCTATAATTTGTGTGGTGGTAGTGGCCCTGGTGGGACCCCTGACCCACCCTTTCCATAGGCCTTATCGCCAGTGGTTTGTGTTCCTCAGCCTCGCTCAGGTCCCTGGATCGCGCTGCGCGCTGACGTCGCCGCCACCACCTCCGCCGCACTGGCTGCTGGCTTGTTGACATTTTACCCCATCGGGCGCGCACCACCAGCGCCGATGGATCGACTAGCGAGCACCCTCGCCATTCTTCTTCCTCACTACATCCCCGAGGAACCAACGCCCGTGTGACCACCCGATGGCGTTGCCCGAGTTCCCGTTCAGAGCCAAGACATTGGTGGCGTGGGCCGCCGAGGAGAAGGGCGACTTGGGGTTCCTCGAACACGAGATCATCGAGGTGTTGCTGGCGGTCGACGGCGAGTGGTGGAGCGGGCGCCTCCGCCGCAACAACGCCGAGGGCATCTTCCCCAAGCAGTACGTCGAGGTCATCGACGAGCCCCGGATGACGGCGCTGCGGCTGCTGGCGCTGTTGGCGCCGAAACCGCCGCTGGACCCGGCGCCGGCGCCTTACACCACCTCCGTCCCCGACACCAACCCCCTCCGAGCCAGCTACGCCGGCTACTCCCGCGTTAACGACCTCGCCCACGACGACGCCGACGACCACGACCACTACAACTACTCCTACGACGAGGCCTACTACCGCAAGCTGAAGAAGCAGAGTAAAGCCAGTAACGTCAAGCTCGCCCACTACCAGCGCGAGCTTCAGGAAAAGGAGCGCGAGATCGCCCACTACAAGCTGCACTTGCGCAAGTCGCAGAGCGACACCAAGCGGTTGAGCTTGGCCCAGTACCCGCCGCTGCCTCCGGCGACCGCTCCCGTGCCAGCGTCACCGGCGGCGTCGTCGCGGCGCAAACTGCCCAGTCCTGACGCCCGCCAGTCGCGCCAGCGCCGTCTGGACTTCTACAAGCTGAAGCTGAAGCTGGCGTACGAGTTGTCGGCTCCGGACGCGTCGCGGGCGCCGTACCCGGTGCACGAGGATGATGGCGACAGTGCTGATAGCGACGATAGCCTCGACGAGATCGCTGCTCGTCGCGCTCAGCTTGAACAGGAATTGCGCCACTTGCGCCAGTTGGAAAAGCGCCGCCAGACTCAGCGCAGCCAGGACGACCTCGGCTACCAGCTGGAGGACTTGCTGCTGCGCCGGCTGAAGGAGCTGAAGGACAATTTGAGCCGCAAGATGGAGAGCGAGGTCCCCAGCGACGAAGGCGACGACAGCGACGCGCCGCCGCCGCCGCCTCCCCCGAAACACAAACACAGCGACGGCGACATCTACCGCTTCTCCCACCACGAAGACCTCAAACTGCTGCTTAAACTGCTGACGCGCACCTACCACAGCGACGTGCTCAACTTGCTGGAGCTCTCGGCGACGCTGGCCGGCCTGTACCACCGCCACCTCCTCGAACGGGAGTTGAACGCGGTGCCCGAACTGCGCCTCAAAGCGATGCAGCTTGAAGATACCACCCCGGACGACTTGGGGCGCCTGGCCCAGAAGCCGAAAAACAGCATTTTCAAAAAGATCTTGGGGCAGAAGCGCGACGAAAACGCCTTGGAGCAGAAGCTTAGCGCCGAGTTCGACACCTGGGCCGAGCAGAAGATGGACTTGAACCGGCTCAACTCGTTGTCCACGGAAGACAAACAGGCGCGGACCCGGCGCGTGGTGCGCACCGAGGCGACGTTAATCGTGAAGCCGTTGGACTACATCTCCGAGATCAACACCAACGAGACGGTGGGGCTGGACTACGACGACGACGGCAACGGCGACGAGCTCGAGTGGGCGCAGATGCTGTTCGCCAAGGCCGACCGGTTCATGGCCCGCTTCTCGACCCAGCTGGACTTGAACGAGATCATCAGCGACGTCAGCATGCGGTTCGCCCACCTGGTGGTGATGCAGATCCGGTGTGTCTTGGTCCACTTGTGCAAGTTCCGCATCATCGACGAGCCCTCCAAAATCTCCCAGATTAAGCCTAAACTCCACGACGTCCTTTTCAAGGGCGAGGCGCTGATCTTCCAGCTCAACTACATTTTTAAGAAAGTTTTGGACGCGTTGCGGATCCCCTCAGAGATCGTGCTTGGTTTCTGGAAGAAGCCCAACGAGTTCTACCACGAAGAGCATTACGTCATCAACCACTGCTGGCTCCTGGTGCTTGTCGACTCCCGCCTCTTGATCATGGACTTGTTGTGCTTCAAGCACGGCCAGGTGTGCAACTTGCGCCGCGACGACGGCTACAACGAGTTCTACTTCCTTGCAAAACCCTTAAGCATGGTGCTGACCCACATCCCCCTGGTGATCGACTTACAGCACGTCCGACCCCCCGTCGACCCCATCGTCGCCTTCCACCTCCCCAGAGAGTACCTGGGGTTCCACAAAAACCGCCTCCGCTTCCGCAACTTCAACAACGCCCTCACCCGGTTGAGAGACTTGGAAGTGGTGGAGCTCGAGCTCTACGTTCCCCCCGACATCGAGTTGTTCACGTTGGTGAAGACATCTAAGGTCACCACCAATGACCTCCTGCTTTGTCAGATGATGTGGCAAAACAACCGCCGCATCGCCAAGATCAAGGCGCTCTTGCCGGTGAACGAGTCCATCGGGGTGCTCCAAGTGTTTGCTGGGCCTAAAGGGTTGCAAAAACACTTCGAGAACGTCCACGAGCTCGCCCTTGTCATCCCCATCTACCATGAGGGCCAATCGAAAAACACTAAGTTCATCCCCCGCTTCCCCACCGTCCAGGCCCAGAAGAACGACTTGTACGTGAAACTGCCTCAAATGAGCACGGTGCTGATGAGACCATACAACTTTGAAGTTTTGGTACACCCGTCTGAAGGAGTGGTTCTGGAGATATCGTCTAGGAAGCACGACTTCAAGATGGTGGTGGAGCTGCCGCTGGGCAAGTACTATAAGCTTGTGGCGGCAGACCCGCTGAAACCATATGGGGTGTACTCCGGCAACATCAAGTGCACCGAGGCGGGGGTGTACCGGGGGCTTGTCATTGGCGACTGTGGAAACAGCTGGTACGTGTTCACCCAGTGGGAATGTCAATGACCCATAATTAATAGCATTTATGAAATAGACACATGATTAGCATAATACATGAAGTTAGACCATGGACACTCAAACCGCTACAACTAATTTTGACAACCTCATATTGCTCACTGGTGCGATATGATGAATTTAGAGCAAAATCTGATAAATTTCGACAATCACTCAAATTGTGGGTCAAATTTATCAGACCTTAATCAGTGGCACAGCATGAAAATCAGCTTACATGTAAGCGAGCTTTGTCGTGCCACATTCTCCTTGAAATTGTGATCCTCTTTAACTTTCTACTTTCGTCATTAAGGTTTTCGAGAGTCCCAGTTGGGTTTGTAACCCATGAGTTAACCCCTGAACGAAGATAAGCCCTTCGAAATCCAGCAAAAAGGGGATATACCTTGAAAGCTCGGCTACTCGTTGTTCCATATAGACTACTGTCACAACATTGCCCTTCGTCGTACCACACCTGCTGACGACAGTAAGATTGCACAGAGAGCTTACGTTCCCTACTACCATCCTCAGGGTACGCCTCCACAATGACAGCTGTACCACTTGCTGTGGCCCAATGTTTGGACCAGTCTGTGGAAATAAAGCTGGACGATAAGGCCAAGCTTACTTTTGACGAATTGCTAGCTCTGGGCCCACAAAAAGAAAACGGCACAGTCTACGATCTGTCCCTGGAAGAAGACGGCTTGGACGAACGCTTTCCCGGTGCTCACCAATGGATCGAACAGCTCGCTGATTTATGGCTGGAAAACAAGCGACCAATCACTATTGCTGAGCTTGAGACAATCTACGGCAAGCGCCTTCTTCCTCGTTTAAGCAATATTTTCCAAGAAGAGGCGAAATTAATCAATGCTATCGAGGATAAACGTCGCATAGAATTCGTCTTACTCTATGGGCAATCTTTGAAGATGACAGTATGCCTACATGTGAGGTACACACAGCTTCAATCGAGGAAGTCTTCAGCTTCGTCAATGACTGCCGCTCCGATTTACCTTATGTGACGTCCACAGACCTTAGCAAGACCATTGATGCCATTGTGGTCAAGCATAGACTCAAGAGTTGCCTCGGTTCTGTGATTGACGAGTTCTTTGAGGAGAAATGTCCCTATATGCCTCAAACTATACAAGAAGTTATTGACGCCTTCTTCCACGCCATTGGGAGACCCTTGGAGGTGGGTCGAGAAATATACAAAAGATTTATTGAGGCAACCAATCCGATTACTAGTAATTGGAATATTACCCAAATTGAAGCCTTTAAGCGCCTCCCACACGTTAAGGCACTCATGGATAAAGTGGACAATCCTTTGACATTTTTGTACCTATTTCTGGTTGGAGAAGAACCGTTTGCTTGCTTGTATTCCGAGGTCAGACGGTTGCTTTCCTTACCGATAATCACTATATCGGGTGTTTGCAGGATCTACGCATACGATGTTCGGTTACCAAGTCCTCCCCAAACTTCCACCGTGCTGAAAAGAAGATTTCGACGTCTAAGACGAAATGGAAGAAAACGCCCTGGAAAAAAGTTTAGACGTTAGCTTTTTTATACTTACGCCCTGCTTCGTTATACATAACGCCTCCCCCACTCATCGTGACATGCTTGATAATAAATATGCAAATACAAGTATCTACTATTCTGTACCTAAGTGTAGTTTAGTGTGGGGATTCATACACCCAAAATAAACCCTGATCCGCCCAACAGGTCCTCACCAGCACCGAGGCTACTATACTATAATAGTGCTCTTGTCCGATTAAGCACGGGCCACAATTTTATATGCAGACGAATTGAACGCTGTTAACTATGGGGTCGTTCAATTTGTCTGCATAGTAGTTCTAGGGATCATGAAAAGACTAATCACATAGCTTATCAAATTTGGATCATTCAAAGTATAGGTGATCGCCATGGCCCTGATACGTGATCTCGACCTAAGCTGCATTCAGAACAATGTTATGATGCTCAACAGCAAAGTCAATAAACAACTGGAGAGGCTTCTCAAATTGGCTATAGCAGTTCGTGACTACGAAGCCAGTGGTGACATTAATCCACCAATTGATCAGACGCTACCCTTTCAATTGAACCCTCTTATTTGTGAGGTATTCGTAGAGGAACCTTCTCGTTACCAAGAGACAAAGAATGAGTTAATGCTGGTCATTCCGCTATACGAGACGTTGCGTTCCTGCTTAATCAACTTGCAAAACGCCAAATGCTGTAACAGCCTCGAAGAGGAAGCTCAAGAACAGAGGCGAAGCGAATTGGAAATGGAAGCGACGCAAAATTTTTCCAACTACTTACTAGTCTTTGGTTATGTGGGTGAGAGGACGCTTAATCGCTACGGTGACCCATCCAGGTCCTCTGTGCTGAGGGCTACAACGAGTTGCGTGAGGTGTCAGATATAGATCCGATAACACTGCAAGCTTTCACAATTCTACTGCAATTAGCAATTCAGGAGCTACGTAGTGGCGTTGTGATCATAATTGATTTGACTAGGATTGACCTTGAAGTTAAAGCTACGTGTCTTGAAGCGATTCGTCAAAAGGCTAACGTGGAAAAATTGACGATAATCAAAACGACAGATGCAAACGATCGATCGATGGAACCACACATCTTGTTTGTTTATATGGAGAACATTTGCGATTCCCCGAACTATTCCTACTTGTAATGATATGGTGAGCGATTAAATGCTCACCACGATAGACCCGAAGTCGTAATTTGGTAATTAGACGCAAATATCAAAATTTAAACTTTACACGCCTAAAGGTTGTCATTTTTCGCAGATCAGACATAACGGTTGTGATCGAAATTACTCAGCGATTACCTCAGCGATCGCAGCGGAGGAAGCCGCACCACTAACCACTGACCCCTACCGACCCCCACTGTCGCCACCGATTCGCCCCCAAAACATCCACACAGCCCTCCGGACGCCGCTACCTCTTATCGGTTAATGCTCAACTTCACCGGGTCCACCAAGAAACGCGTCATCAACCTCGGAAACCGCACCACGGGTGCCAACCAGCAGCGGTTTCTCGAGCAACAGCGCCTCCAGCGGCTCGAGCGAGAGCGGCTCCGCCGTGAGGACGATGCTGCTAGAGTGATCCAGCGGTACGTTCGGCGCTACCTTGATCTCCACCACCACATCGCCGCATTGCTGCCTCCAGCGCTGCTGGAGTTAGCGATCGCTTATATCCGGCTCGCGTCCCGATGGTGCCCCGACAGCCCTAATTTGCCTGCTTATATCACTCAGGTGATTGAGTCGATTAATACCAATGCTCACCAGTTGCTGCCGCTGGATCTCCGGCTGTTAGTGGTCGCTTGTCAGCGTGTCAACCTCACTAAAGCAATGGACACTCTAGTACTTAATGCGCCCGATAATTACTTTAAGGCTCCTCCAGGGACATTTGCGGGAGTGCTTTCATCCACCACATCGCTACCGGTAGCTCTCAAAGTGAATATTGGCGACTCTGTCGACGCTTTCGTCCACTGGCTCATGAACCACTCCGACCCTAAACAGCTGGCATACCCTCAATTGATTAACCAAGCATACCTCAACCTTGTTCCCTATACTCGTGACCTCCCCAATGAAACACTAGTGCATTTGCTTGCGGTCTATATTGGCGCCGTAGGGTCGGTGGCGTTGCTGGATGTGTCCGTGGTCACCAGTCTCCTTAGTCCCATCACCACCAGTATCTCTGATGATGAAGATGAACCAGGGATGGTGGTGGAGCCGTGGATCGAACGTAATCTCGTGCAATTATACTCGTCGCAGTTCCTTGATAAGTTGTTACAGCTGGAACGCCACAAGCTCCTTTCGTCGTTGGCAGTGCTCATTCAATTGAGTCCTCAGCATCGCAGCAAGCTTTGTACGGCGATATGTGTCAAACGAGAAGTGTTTGGATATCTTTACAATGAGCTTCTGGGCCATGAAGTGTACCAAAAGATTGTTAATTCGCCGACGCCATTATACTCGCTGTTATCACAGTTCGCCTCAATTGCAAATGAGCTGGATTTCTGGAAGTTGGTATACATGTTCATTGAGCTTCTTCTGTTCTTCTTAGTGGTTACCAACGATATCAGTCTCCAAAAAGACCAAGGGCTTTTCTCATTGGTTCAACTCGCTGAGTTTGCCGATCTCCTCAAGAACTTGACCCTCACATTCATCATCAAACGCCCCGAAGGATCGTGGGACCGCATCAAATACGCCAGCATCAATTTGCTCAACCAGATCCACTCCATCAACCAGCGACTTAGGTTCTTACCGGCCGATTTCAACACGTTGAAGGAGATCCCCATGAACGTTGATATCCTCTATAAAGTGTACAAGGCTCGTGCTGACCGTGAAGATGCTGATCTGACGGTTACTTTACTGAACGTGTACGCGGCGCAGTTAGAGATCCTTGAGCATCTCCCCTACTTTTTCCCATTTATGGATCGTGTACACCTCTTCCGTTTACTTGTATCGGTTGATCACCTGGAGAACTGGTTCACCTTCCACCAAAGCAAGCTTGAAGCTCAGATCCGCAGAGGGCACATCTTCGAGGATGGGTACGAGGCGTTTGCCCTGGCGGGACCAGAGTTCAAAAACCAGCTTGCCATCAACTTTACCAGTGACGTTGGCGGTCGGGAAGCTGGGATTGATGGTGGCGGCTTGACCAAGGAGTTCTTAACGTCGACCATCGCCGAGGCGTTTCGGTCCGATCTGCACTTATTGGCAGAAACTGGCAATCGGCAATACTACCCGTCACCTGAGATCTACTACAAACTAACGCTCGACGTAGATACTCCGGATCAACACTCATACTTACGCCAACTACAATATTTGGGGCTCATTATTGGCAAGTGTTTGCTCGAAGGCGTTCTTGTTGACGTGCCGTTTGCACCTTTTTTCCTCAAGAAATGGTGTAAAAACAACGAGGCCAGCTCCATCAACGACTTGGCCGAGTTGGACGAGAGTCTTTACCTTAATTTATTGAAGCTAGAAAAGCTTCTGAGCGATGAGATTGACGAGTTGGGGCTCACGTTCACTATCGACGAAAACATTAACGGTACGGTAATCCCATTCAATTTGATCCCTGGCGGAGACCAAGTGGCCGTCACCACGGAGAACAGGCTCACCTATATTCACCAGCTTGCTAATTTCCGCCTCAACCGTCTGTTACGAGCACAAACCAACTCGTTCATCCAGGGGCTCTATAAAGTGATTGACTCGCTGTGGCTTGCGTTATTTGACGCTGAGGAACTCAAGCTTTTGATTTCTGGTGAGGACAAAATCAACATTGAAGAGTGGATCAAGCTGCTGGCGATCGGCGGTGGCTACCACGACGAGGACGTCACCATCAAGAACTTCTGGGAAGTGGTACGTGAGTTTGATGTTGAGGACCAGAAGAAGCTCTTGAAGTACGTGACGCTGGTGGGACGCCCCCCACTCACCGGGTTCCTGCTGCTCGAGCCGCCGTTCACCATCAACTTTGCTGGCAAAGACCTCAATCGGCTCCCTACAGCGCTGACGTGTGTCAACTTGCTTAAATTGCCCGACTACAAGGATAAAAAGCTCTTACGGGAGAAGTTGCTCTACGTGATCAACCTGGAAGCCGGCTTCGACTTGAGTTAATCAATGAATCACCTTGCACAGTCAGATCAAATCTCATCACATCAGCTGATCCAAGCTGTTATTAACTGACGTCTCATTGCTAAACCTAATATACATGCTATACATCACTTGCCGTTGGGCCACCGGGGAATCACGGCGCGGGGTTAGGCTCTCTGCTTGCGCTTCTTGGCTTTGAGCACCACCTTTTGCGCTTCCTCCTCTTCCTCTTCGTCGACGCTCATGGCGTCTTCCATTTCCTCGTCTTCTTCGTCTTCTTCTTCTTCTTCGGCCTCGGCGCGGGCCGCTTGCTTCTCCGCCGCCCGTCTCAACTCGACGTCTCTCATTCTCAACAACTCGGGGTGGTCCTCGACGAGCTTGCGGTCCAACGCCAACTGTCTTTCCTTGTTGCCCTTCATGCGGTTCTTGTAGAAGGCTCTCTCTCTCTTGCGGCGGATCTCTTCGATTCTCAGCATCGCCTTCAACGTGGTGGCGACGAGGTCACGGTTATAACGGACGGGGACGTTGCGGCGGGCGGCAAACGTGAGGGTGGAGTCGACCACAAGTTCCTTGCCGGCGGCCTTTCTGAACGCCTTCGTCCACCGGAGCTTTCTCGGGTTCCGGCGCTGCTTGAACGCCTTGTGGCACTTGGAGCGGCAGAATCTGAACTCCTTGGCGTCGTTACGCACGAAGGTAATCCCGTGAAGCGGGTACACCGGCAGCGAGCAGAAATGGCACTGGTAGATTCTCATCGCACAATGGTTCGCTGGGGTGGTAAATTCGCGATGAGGTTTATCGGTCCTCTGGGTATGAGCCCTGCGCGCGATGCTTAGACAAGGTATGTGATCGCATGCAAAAAAGCAAAACCCACAGAAAGAGGCGACGACTTTGAGGAGTATACTGATGGAGTTTGATTGATATTGTAAATCGATGAGGTTATGACATTAATATTAGTATCCAAATGTGTTGTGTCATGTAGATCTGATCTTGAGTCTTTGGGTTAGACAACGATCATAAGAAAACTTAAAGGATATAAGGATGATTTTATATCTCATATGTTCCGCTGACTCGGTCTACTTTCATAAAACGGTATTGTCATATCATACATTAAATAGTTCTATTTTAAGGTAGGTCATTTTAAGATTGAGTGCTGATAGCATCAAGTGGCATTAGCTTCCGGTTTGGCCCAGATGTGAGGCAACTTCACTTTAAAACTATGCGGTTCCACATACCTCAGAGTGAACCACAGCCGAAGCTGGGCCTCAATCACACTCAGAATCTTCGGCACGTCCTGTAGCTTAGCCCGCGACCCAATCAACAGCTTAATACTAATTTCCAACCGGTAGTCAGGCGAGAACAGAAGCATAAGCAGCGTGGGCAGGTTTTCATCGTTTTTGTCTTCTTTGACTAACGTGATGCCTAAGCAGCCGCTAAACCGCACAATCAGCACCGTCAACTCCACGGGTAACACCGCGGTTAACGGACGTGGATGGTTCAAAAGCAACTTAGTTTCGATGCCAAGCGTCAACGTATCGGACAAGTCGACGTCAATCAACGTTTGGAGCCCCTCGGGGGTCGAACAAACACGACAGTTAGAGCATATAGGGAAATCGTCACCAATATCAATTTCAGTCAATTTAATCCGATCGAGGAAATCAGGGAACGACGCCAGCAGTAAGAAGTTATTAAGCGAATGGTAGATGTTATCTCCTAAAAGGGCTTGCATCCGCAATTGGCTGATGGCCTGAGCCACAAGCACGTTGAACCAATCGAGGGTTTCCGGCGGGTGGTTCTTAACATCGTAATAGGTCTTTTCGAGGATCTTCAGTTGCCTCGGTGTTTCATCCTCGTCATCATGTTTCACCACCACTGAGCCTGCCAGCTCGTCAAAGGTGGTTTTCGTCTGCTGGTCGGAAAACACAAAGAACTTGATGAACACGACGATGACGACGATCACCAGCACCTGGCCCAAAATGAGCCCCTGGGTGAACGACCACGGCCTCCGCGCATTGGTGTCGGCGCCAAGTTCTAGCTGGAGCTCCTCTCGTAGCTGCTGGAGAAGACTGGTGGCGTCTTGGGACATGGCGTCTTCCATCCCCACCGTTCGCGCTACCATCCGTGCGGCAGACTACAAAATGAATACACTAATTACACCAATAGTTACGCAAATCATCATCATTTATTGTCACATACGGCTAAATATACAACCTGTGGTGAGGTGCTAACCGCTACACCGTCTTTTTCGGGGTCTTCTTCGGCGTTTTCGACACTGGCTTCGCTACTTTGATGGCCAGTTTGGGCGTGTGGATCTTTTGCGGCGTTGCCTTTGAAGGAGTCCCCTTGGCTGAAATCGCCTTGACCGGAGTCGATTTGACCAGGTTTTTAAGCGGCGTTTTCAGCGGCGTCTTCAGCGGCGTCTTCGTCGCCTTGGCCGGCGACGTGACTGGGGTCACCTCGATAGTACCGTTAGCCAGAAGCTTTTTGGGGGTTTGCGGCACTTCGGGGATCTTAATCGGCAAGATTTCGTCGTCCAGGTCATTGGTACCGTCACCGGAGATCCACTTCAAGAAGTTGAGGTCCTTGTTGGCGTTGCCCATGTATTTCTGAGCAAACTTTTCGAGGGGCAGCCGCGAGTCCTCGGAGAGGAGCTGCTGCATGTCCATGGTTTTGTTGCGCAAGTACTCGCGGATCTCCTCGTACAAGTCCTTGGAAACATTGTTCAAGTTGTTTTTGTTCTTGGTCCAGTAGCCGCGGAAATCCTGGATATTTTTCTTGAAATCGAGTTCGTTCTTTTTGAGCCAACTGACGTTAAGCTCTTTGCGGGTTGCCCCACGCGCAAAGTTGCGCATCAAGTACTTGTCGTAGTCGCGGATGATCTTGGAGATGATGTCCGACGTCAGAATCCCCTCGGTTCTCTGGGTGGCCAAAAACTTACCCTGCTTCTTAATCGGTTCGTAGATGTCGTCAGCCTCCGCCGCCGCGTACGGCAAGTCGTCGTGGGCAACGTAGTCGATGTTATGCTTTTCCAAGAACTCCGGGGTGACGAACCACGGAGCGTTGGGGATGACCTCGTCCACCCACCGGCAGTGCTTCAACGTCTCGCACCGGTCCTTATCCGAAAGCACCGTGAGCCCCTTGCGCTTATGGGTCTCAGTATCCAGTGGGATGCCACACACCAACTGGACGTTGGGGAACGCCTTCTTTGCCTGCTCCAATTGCTTCATGTGGCCCAAGTGGAACAAGTCAAACACGCCATCGGCGTAGATGCGAATCGGCCGACCCTTAGGCGGCAAATTGAACTTGTACCCTTTAGGACGAAACTTGCGGAGCTCTTCCGGGAGTTCGGCGTCAAGTTCCTTTTCTCTTTTGTCGAATTCCGCCTGTTGTGGCGAATTGGGCTGAGCCACCTTCGCCCGCTTCGGCTCGGGAGCGGTTCCAGAAGCGTCCGTCAGCGTCAGCTGGGCGTCGTCACCACTGTCCCGGGCCCGCTTCTTGCGGAACAAAGGGATCTTCGCCGCAAGCGCCTCCATGGATAGCGTCTTCCGCAATGGCTTGTGCTGCGCTTCACTCATGGCCTAACCCGATCGCACTTGTGGAGCAACGTTTTTCGCGCGCCCACGAGGACGATGGCTGTGGCAGAGGAGACGGCAAAGAGTAAAGATATGGTGAAAGTAACGTGAATCTAAATGTGTCATTTTGAAAGTATAGTTAAATTTAACAAACAATGGCATTTAATCACAATTTACCGATTCATCATAGTTCAAGCTCATTGTCAGACGCGTTGTTTACTGTTATCTGACATTTGCTTGTGATAGCAATACCAAGCAATTGTCCAGTCACACCCATAGATAACCTAAAAGTAAGACGAACCTTTTAGTACCATAAGTCAGTTGTTGATGTCATAATCAATTCAGCTCACGGAGAATATCTCTACGTTTTATTATTCCTTTTTTTGAAGTATTAAGTGTCGTAATCATGCTAAAAAATTTGGTTAATCACCAGTTCCAACTGGTCGCCGGCCTTCTCCTTGGTGAACTTAGTGGTGTCGGCATCGGCCCGGGCACTGGCGATCTTTCTCTGCTTGAACGTCCGCCGCACCTTGTCGTCGTCTTCATGCTTCTTCGGCGCCTCTTCATCCTCAGCGCGACGCTTCTTGGCCCGTTCGATCATCTTGGCCGTCTCCACATTCTCGATAAACGTCTTATTCACCTTACGTTGGCGAGACACTTCGAGGGCAAGCTTAGCCTGTCTCACTTCGTTCTCAGTGGCGAGCTGTTGTTGTAAGTCTTGCCAGGTGTACTTGCGGAGATAGCGCAAATTGAGGATGTCGTCATGGTAGCGGTCCTTTTTGTTTCCCCCGATCTTCTGTCCGTTCATCGTCATCGCACACAACTTGGCGTGCTTCTTCTTCTCAAACTCGACCCACCCTTCGGTAAAATTCTGCCGCTTGTTACCCTTATACTTGATCCGCTTGCGGCGTAACTTTTCGTCTTCTGGCTGTAAAAAGATCCGCCCCACGGGACCAAACCTCAGCATGATCAGTCGGAGTTTAGACGGTTGCATAAATGGTGGCACCAGAGTTAAATGGACCACGCCGGACTTTTTAACTCTCTTTTGTTCCTTAGCCAATCTTTCGGGGGTCATCTTCTTCAACTTCTTATTAAGCTTCTCCGGGATCTGAGACTGTGCCTGTTCAGTGTCTTCCTTCGCTTCGTCATCCTTGTCGTCAACTCCGTCATTGTTGTCATCTCCCGTGGTTTCCTTAGCGGCCTCTTCATCATCGTTATCATCTCCGAGCTCTTCTTCCTCATCGTCGGAGCCGAACACTTCTTCTTCGTCATCGGACTCAGCGTCACCCGCCACGGGGAGGTGGGCTTTCTTCACCCCCTTGGCGGGGAACACCCCTTCTTCGTCACTCGAGACGTCAAAGTCATCGCTGAGGTCGCCAGCAACGTCGGCGATCGGAAGCTTGGCGGCCTTCGTGCTCTTCTTGGAGGCAGGCATCGACAACGGGTGGTTATACACAGGCTTAAACAAGAGCGACTTCTGGCGAGTGCGATGATCAAGCGATGCGATGCACCCGATAAGGTGCGTGGAAACGCGAAGAACGCGAAGAACCGTAAACCAAAAGCCAATGGGAAATACTTGCTAGCCAACAAAATTTATGCCTTTGAAGCAGTAATCATTACTCTTAACTTATAAAAAAGAAAAAGATTTAAAAAATTCAATGATAGTCATTAAATTCATGCTTTTCGAGTGGCATCAGTTGAAATCACTACATCGGATCGTAATACTAAAATCTGAAAAACTCAATTAAAATGTTACCACTTATTCTATTTCCCCTCTATTATCTATATACACTCAGTTCGATTCACTCAGTCCCATTGGCTTAGTTCCATTCGACTTGCCAGTGCAAGGTTTGCCCCGCTTCAAAAGGGACCACCGACAACGTGTCGTTCGACACCAGCGACGGCACCACGTTGTCTCTCTTTACCAACAGCACTCTCTGCAGTTCCTTAGCCTTGATTTCGTCGACATTGACTTCGTAAAAGGCAAACCCATTGTCACGAACAAACTTGGGTAAAGTATCCAATTTGCCAGCCTTGTCGAACACTTCAGCAACGTAGGCCAACGCGTGCGACGAGGTGTAGACACCAGCACACACGCCGGTGTGGACGGCCTTCTTTTCCACGGGGTGAGGCGCCGAGTCGGAGCCGAAGAAGAACCACGGTTCACCGGAGGTGGCAGCGTCCACCAAGGCTCTCATGTCGCGAGGCAACTTGGCCACGGGCTTACAAAAGTTGATGGGGTTACCCGCCCATCTGTCAATGGTGAGCGACAAGTGATGGGCGGTGATGGTGGCGGCCACGGTGACGTCAGCCCCCAGCTTACCCTTATTAATGTCTCTCACCGTCTCAATAGCATCGGCAGTGGTGCAGTGTTCGAGGATGATCTTAAGCTTAGGGAAGTCGGCGTGCAATTTGCGCAAAGCAGGCAAGAATTTCGGCTCGGCGTTCAACACGGTGATGTCATCGCCGTCGGCTTCCGGTTCGTCCTTAGCGGGCTTTTCCCCGTGCAAGTTAAGCACCAAGTTGTTACGTTGCAACGCTTCAAACACCGGGTAGAAGGGAGTGAAATCGTTAGGGTCGACGCCGGCAGCAGAGTTGGTGGTGACACCGGCAGGGTAGCACTTGACCCCCTGGATAGCTCCCATTTTAGCCGCTTCGTCGATGAGTTCGGGAGTCAAAGCAGGACACAAGTAGAACGACATCAAGAAGGTGGTGTGCGGGGCCAACTCCTGGAGCTGCTTCTTGTAGGAGACGACTTGGTCGATGGTGGTGATGGGGGGCACCAAGTTGGGCATGACGTAGCACACGGAAACCCCGCCTTCACGTACGGTGGGTGTAATCAAGTCCATCATGGCGCCATCTCTAAGATGGACGTGGAAGTCGCCGGCAACGCCAAGGTCGATCTTGGTGGTCATTGGTGGTGTGAGGTGTGTGTGAGGAAAGAATTTGTGCGGAAACGTGGGGAATTATAATATGGTGCGGGATAGTATAGACAATCAGGTTGAGGTAAGTGGAGTGATGAATTTGCCAAGATGTTAGGTTATGATTTTGAGTATGGTACGATAATTGAAGGAGATGGTGACCATCGAAGGCTGAGTGATCGAAGCCTATGGACTCCGATAGAAGACTACTAGTTGCTAAAAAACCATGAATGGCCATGAGTGTATTCACAAAATGATTCATATGGACCATAAACAGAGTCGACTAAGGCAAATTCCAGAATGAAAATTTTCAGCGTAATATCAGTCAACTTTAGTATTCTTTAAGTGGCTACTGGCAATTGTGGTCCTGCGATG